GTGGGTCTTCTGGCGACTTTGATTACTCAATATGTTTAATTTTATGCCACTGCCATGCTCCACTTGTGCAGCTGTTCCGAAAGCTAATTCCGACAAAGAAATGCCATTAAAAGCAAACAAGTGTCCGAGGCACCGAGAGAGAGTTCGCCAACGCACAACACAAAAGACACCTGTAAGAGCCAGGTAAGCCTGCTGTCTGCTATTAGCCGAAATCAAGACGGAGACAATGTAAGCCACAAAATAAAATCTCTGGGGAGACCCAGAGGAGAGCCCGGTGTTGGCCACCAACGCAAGCCACAGCCGCGCTGCTCTGGCTTTTAGCCAATTTTGATATAACTGAAAGCGTCAATTATACGTGAAATTTATGATGCCGTGTGAAGAATAACACCAACTTGCAACATATTTGGACATCGTGGCCGTTGCAGCCGCACAATTGCCGCTCTGGGGTCTCTTGTCGCAGATATGTACCTTGATAATGGGCATTGTAGTGCAGCTTTTCCAGTCACAGGCACAGGCAAAAAGAAAAAATATAAGAAAAGATGACAAAGGAGCCGGAGCGGTCTTCTGACGACGCTGCCCAGTACGCCCACCAAAAGAGGAGGATGGAGACCCAGATACTACCACTCGTACCAAGAGCCTAGAGAAGACATTTTGGGCACACACCAAGTCAATTTGTTTTATCTATTGTCGAACAAGAGTCATGTCACAACGGCACAATGAGATTTACTATGTGTTGTTGCAGCTTCACATACACTTTGAGAAATATATAAATGATACAGGTTATTCAAAGCAAAGAGAACCTATGAAATTATTGATATTCTCACCCTCAAATGTTATAGAAAATTTGTAAAGCTTCCTACAAAATCTTAAAATTAAATTACAGCTTCTTAACAGTCGGAAGATCCATCTTAGAATATTAAACGAATTTGAAAGGAATCTGTAACATTACTAAACAAATTAAAGAAACAAATTTACATTAACTTTCGTTCCATTTAGGGTTAAAAATTAAATTAAGTCCATAAAATGTATTAAAGCCATTTATGATAGACTCGAACATAGGTTTCTTGCCGGACATTTTAAGGCCAACATTTTTGGGACAATTGCTGGCCATTTTCGGTTTTCGGTTTTCGGTTTTTTTCTCTGGATGGCAGACAAAAAGCAACTGCAGTTCGCCGTTGCTGTTGCTGTTGCTGATGCTGAAGCTGCAACAATGGAGCTGCGGCAAATCAGCAACATGATTCGATATTTAGATATGCGCCTCAAGAAATATGAGCCGCTAACAACAACAGGAGCAGCTGCAACAACAAAGATGCTGCCGCTGCTTGTCGGCTTGTTGGCCGAATGTAATTGCCAAGTTTGTTGCTTAAGTCTTTTGTTTTGGCCACGCTGATAGGGCCAGTTGCATTTAAATTTGATTTATACACTTGCGGACCACGGATAATTGGATGGAAGTCGCCGCTCTGTCTCCGGCAGTTAATAATTGGCCAGCCCGAGTCTAGTTCCCACCCCAAAATCGTTGTGGGAGTTGGGATTAACCTCCAAGTTGCAGTTCCAGGTTGCATGTTCCATGTTCCAGGCTCCAGGTTCCAGGTTCCAGGTTCCAGGTTCCAGGTTTGAGCTGTGTTCCAGGTGTTAATTGTCAGTCCCCCCAGGGGCATTGGCATTGACCATAAAAGGCTACTGCTGCGGCCTAGATCCGGAATCGAAGAACAGAATGCACTGGGCCTGGGACTGGACTGAACTTATAAACATAATTAAGTTGGAATCGTAAAAAACGGCAGCATAGCTTCGGGCCAAAATGCGTGCAGCAGCAACAGCAGCAGCAGCAGCAGCCGAAGCAGAAGCAGAAGCCGGCCCGACTCCCCAGAAACTCCATTAACAAGTCGTGGTCCGATCCGATCCGATCCGATCCGAGACAGATTCCGGACCCGGCGGCTATAAAACACGGCGTGCAACCAATCAGCGGCCGGCTAAAGAGCGCCGCTCGGGAAGCACAGAACCGGTCTGCTCCCCTCGAAGAGAGAGCTGTAGTTGTCCGCGCGGGAGAACGCGGTCCGGGATCGCGGCCACCACTTTTGTGCCCAGAGGCAATCAGTCGTTAGTCGAACCCCGAAGCGTACGCAGCGCCCAGCGGAAGTCGCAGTCGAGAGTCGCAGTCATTCACAGTAGCAGTAACAGTAACAGTAGCGGTAGCAGTTGCAGTCGCAGTCACTGCTTTCGGTGCTCTCTCTCTCTTAAGGCACCACCACCACCACCACCACGATTCTCGTTGGCCGTCTCTCCCGCGTGACTTGCTCCGCCCCGTGGATGCTGCTCGAGGGCTGGAAGTGCCGCAGGATTCGGCGTTCGTTTAGTCGTGAGCCGTGCTTCGAGCGGTGATGAGTACACTATTCCCAGCCACGGTACGAGAGTGACTTCCTCCTCCCCAAACTGGATTATACAAGCCCAGTGCCACCGCCTCCTCCTACTCCTCCTCCTCCTCCTCCCCCAATTGAAAGCGAGTTGTGAAAGTGTTAAATGTTAATCGTTCGCTGATTACAACAAATGATCAAGTTGATGGAGAAAAAGTACACAGCACAACACCACAGTAAATGAAAAGATCAACAATCAGTCGACATTGTGTGCTTAATTTCCTCGGCCAGATCGTGTGAGCGAAGAAAAACGGAAATACCTTTCAATTAAATGCTCGTACAATAAATGCTCGTAAATAAATGCATCGACATACAATGCCTTCAAAGGAAAAATTGTGTTTAATCCAAGTGAAAAAGTAAAAGTGCAAACAACGTGAATATGCGAATATATATATGCTATATACATGCATGATCCCCCTAAGAATCAGCAGAGAGTGCCTGTGCCTGTGACTGTGACTGTGCTCCATTGATAACACACACAAATCAAAAGCTATAAAGTGGAATTGAAACATTCGGAGTGAAAGAACGTGGAGAAAGAGAAAGAAAGAAAACAGCCAACTAGCCCATAATGCATGATAATAAAAAATAGTAATAATAATAATAAGCAGGGCACTGCAAACAATAAATGTTAGAATTCTAAGGGAGATAAATTCACCTTCAAACTGGTGTGGGAGTACATCTTTATACAGATATTAATTGGATAGACATACTATTGAATTTATTTTAAATCAAGAAAACAAGTCAATTTCTTATAGGAACTTATTGAATACAAGTCAGTTTATTTTTTGTTCAGTGCTTGAAGAGAGAATAGTATATAGAGATATATAATATATATATATATATATATATATATATATTAATCCAAGTAGAAAATAAACTCTGGATCATGAGAGAGAGTGGGAATTGTGTTATGCTCTGCCACACACTTCCATCCAATCGTTTGGCCATAAGTTTGGCAGCATAAGCTCAGCATTATTATCATGGTCCATAGCTCATTCAGATCGTTTCACTCAAGAGTGCTCTCCTTATGCTTATAAAAAATAGTAATAATAATAATAAGCAGGGCACTGCAAACAATAAATGTTAGAATTCTAAGGGAGATAAATTCACCTTCAAACTGGTGTGGGAGTACATCTTTATACAGATATTAATTGGATAGACATACTATTGAATTTATTTTAAATCAAGAAAACAAGTCAATTTCTTATAGGAACTTATTGAATACAAGTCAGTTTATTTTTTGTTCAGTGCTTGAAGAGAGAATAGTATATAGAGATATATAATATATATATATATATATATATATATATATTAATCCAAGTAGAAAATAAACTCTGGATCATGAGAGAGAGTGGGAATTGTGTTATGCTCTGCCACACACTTCCATCCAATCGTTTGGCCATAAGTTTGGCAGCATAAGCTCAGCATTATTATCATGGTCCATAGCTCATTCAGATCGTTTCACTCAAGAGTGCTCTCCTTATGCTTATACAATTAGCTGATAAATCTGGGCATAGGCAGCAGCATCAGCAGCACTACGCAGTTCGAGGTCTCTCCCGGCAGTGAATATGTAATGTAGTTTTGCAAAATGCGAAAAGAGTGCAGCACCCTCTCTTTGGGGATGAAAGTTTCACGGGGGGGAAGTCAGGCCGCAGTGGCCACAGTGGAACAGCAGCCACTTCCGGTCCATGCCACATGCAACATCTGAGTCTCGATTCAAAGTCAACGACTTCCGCCCGGCAAGGAGAAGGCATGCTCCAAGCAAATTACTTAATTAAATGGACAATTAACACCTCGGTCGTGGATCGGGGGAATGAGTAATGTTTGCCGGAGTGAAAATATCTGTAAATTAATATGCGCACAAGATGCAAATTGTTTGCTGCGGCCCAAAGACACATGGCTTCGGCTCCATGGCAGAGCTGCCACTGCAACGGCGTTAAATTAACATAAATTGAATTGCATTTGCATTTGCATTTGCATTTGCACTTACTTTTGCCTTTGCCTTTGCTGCACGTTGCCTCTCTGCCTTTGCGGTGGGGCAAAGTAAACGCTGTTGCGGTTGCTGCCACTGCCACTTGTTGCTACTGCGGTTTGCCACTGCGTGTCAATTAGTGTTGATGATGGCACTGGGGAAATAGATGAAATAGATTTCCACAGCCCGGTTTTCAATTCCACTTCGTTCGCCAATTGTTACAGCTAGAAGCCCCCCAGCCATCGCCTATCAAGTGGATGTGTTAAGTGTGAAAAGTACAAAGAAACAAGGCAAAACAAAGCCCCTTATAAGTAATAAATAATAAGTTTGTGATAACACCATTATTATTAACAAAAACAAAACTCACAGAAACGAAAAACAAATACAAACGGAGCTCGTTGTTGCGGAGTGGAGAAAAAATGATAGAGAAACCGGAATACAGCGAGTGCCTTCCCCAGAGAAAAGCGAATTAAACAAGGACCAGAAATCTGCATACATGGGCTAATTAAAGATCGCCGCGAGATCATTTGACCACCGAACCAAACCCAAAGTGAACCCAAAACAACGACACAAGCCCCGGCCAGATCTAGACGAGATCGCAGAGCAGCCACCACCAGCATCATCGCCCAAACGCCCACAGAATGTACACAATGTTTAGGAAACATTTTCGGCGAAAATCAACGTCGGAATCTGGCGAAGAAACAGCATCCGAAGACAGCCTGAGAATGTCTACAAGGGCGGCGACAAAGAGACAGCGCCTGAGGCCCCGGACTCTCCTTCCTTCGCCGCTTGTCGATTGTCGATCATTAAAGTCTGCCTGCAACTTAATTGCTTTAATTTTAATACTGTTAGTCCATAAGGTAAGCGAAACCCACTATAAAAAAAAACAAAAAGGCAAGAGCCCCAGATCCAAATACATGCGGGTGTACTATCTTCCCACAAAAAAGAGCAAAATGTAGAAGGCTAACAAAAAATATTAGAGTTGATTCAACCCATGAGAATTGGCAACGGCTGAGGGCCAACAAATTTCGATGGGGGACGTAAATAATGATGATTTTCGGTTTATTTTTGAGTGATTTATCAAATTTTTGCAGGCTGAAAGAGTGAAGTTTGATGGGATCTTTATACGCAAGCTGCGTTTATTTTTTCGGACAGTAAATCAAATATTAGTAGAGTTCTGGGAAGTAATAAATATACAGAGATATTAATGCAATTTTTGAGACATTTTTCTTGAATGTCTGTCTATTTCTATATTATTTTATTGCTAAAAAATAAAAATACCTAACCATACGCACTATTTTCCTCTTCTAGGGGAACGCAAGTTCAGTGAGTCTTAAAGCTAAACTCTTCTTATTTAATTGTTCTTGCTCAAAATACAACTCTTAAACATTTAACTGGTCTTTAAATAAAGTCGTTCTCGGTCACCAAGTTATTTATAAAAAGAAAACACTCCCTCGTAGAAGGTTTAATAGGATCTCATCCTCGTAGCCGCCATGAAAGTGATCCCATCTATCTGTAGAAACCATCTCCATGAAATCGTTCCCACATGGCAACGGTAGTCGGGAGTTTTGGGACTTTTTCAGAGTTAGTTTTCGGGGTGTAGCCCGTCATAAAGTGTTACACAAAGTGCCTAAACATGTATTGAGATGCCAGAAAAGAGATGCGAATGGGGAGGCTGGGAACTGGGGATTGGAGACTGAAGACTGGGAAGGGATGCCTCGAGCGGCAATTAAACAGGCGGAGAGGTAGCCAACGGTTCAAAAATACATAAAAATTAATCGCTGCTGTGAGCAGTTAGGGGAGTTCTCGGAGGGGGGACAAACAACAATTTGATTAATACGACGGCCAACTCAAGGGGCAGATATTAGAATCCACAGCGAGAGAATCCCAACAGTTCCAAGACCCCGGTGGAGCCATCAAATTGATTACACACATTTATCTGGCTTGGACCCAGGCCCGGCCGGGGATTGCATTGATTTAGGTTATTCGGGGCGATAAAAGTGGCCGGCAGCCTAAATGGATGCAACTATTTAGTTGTTAATGAAGTAAATAAAAAGTTAAATATTTTGTAGCGTCCGTTGTCGATTTATGGTTCACTTCCAGGGAAATCTGAGGCGGCGATCGCATCGCCTCGGTTCACATGGTCTCCGCTGGAATTAACCCAGTTGAGGACGACGGGGATCTCTGACATTTATTGATCATAAGCTGCGTATTAAACGGACTGCGAAAAAGGCAAGGGCGGCCTTATTACGAAAGGAGCTCCCACGAAGCGGCTTAATTAAAATTTAATTTCACATTAACTCCCCCCTAAGTGTCCCCTCTCTGTGTCGGCTTCGTTAAGTTGGCGCCGCAGCACTAATTTCCTTAAGCATTTCATCGGGTTTATCTAATCGAGGGACAGGCGGGGGATTACGTCAAAGTTTGTACTGAATATTAGCGGATGCAGAGCCAGAGCAGCTGCAGCCAAAGAACCCAAGAGTCGGAGATACACATGTGATAAATAAATAAGTAAGCAGCCACGAAAACAGGTTTCTCGATTTAGAATCCCATCTCGAGTCTTGGCCCGAAGTCAGACAAAAGGAAATCTCGAGAAAACGCCAAGAGAAACTGGCCGAGAGACCAGCATTTGATTGATCTATGGCAATGGTCGACAATGCACATGGTTTGGCTTTAGTTTGTTGGTTTTCTCCTCAGCTTTTCCAGCAGAAGCCGGAGCAGGTGCAGCACCGTTAGGCCAGAAGGCCAAATTGCAATTTATTTCTAATAAACTTATCAACACTGCCAGCTACCAGAGGCAATGACAATAAATTTGCTGAAATATGAAACCATAAAGGCAGGAGTCAGCGGCTAAGAGTTTTCATTAGCATATTTCCGCGAAGAAGCTGCAGCTCTCCAGCTCTCCAGGATAGAACTGGTAATGAACCTTTAAAATACAAAGTTGATGGTGCGGACGATGGAGACTTCTTCTGCAGACTCACTCCGGCTAAGTTATGATAAGCGATTTGGCGGAGAATAGTTAAACTTTATGTGCCATTTATCAGTGGGGCGAACGGCGATCTAATGTGTTATTAATTTTATGGCAAATGCTCCTATCGATAGGCTCTTGATTTGTGGCCACTCCGGAGCACCGATTCCAGACTGCCGGCTCCCGAGCCTGCAGCTCCCCAGCTGGCTCACAAAGGCATTCTAAATTATACGAAAGCCGCTGGATATCTCGTTTGATTAAGTGAGCCGAAACGGTATAGTTAGGAGCGCGCTTTGTGGCCGTGGAAATATATTTCTCATTATTTTCGTGTTTCATTTGCTGTTAGATTTATCAAGTCCCGGGCGAGCGAGCCAGCTCCTTTCTTTCGGATTATTCGGAGTTCGGAGTTCCCCCGTGTACCGATCCATCTATTTTTGTGTTTTTAATTAAAACCTCTAGCGCAGCCCAATCAGAGCGCCCTAGGTGGCTTATTAGCTTTTACAGCCCGGCGAACGATCAGATCCATAAAGTGTTGAGCATATTATTCGTTGGGAATGGGATTGGAAGTGGGAATGGGAATGGGAATGGTATGGGGATCGATCTTAGGTCTTAGGTCTTGGGCAGGAGGAATGCGACTTGGTGGGGGAAGATCACTCTTTTTATTTCGAGGGAAGCTTCGTTACGAGCCGTGATTGATTTGATCGATTTGAGATCTGGTCGCTTGTCTGCCAACCGATCGCAATGTACTTTCTGTATCGATAACCTCGTTTCCTTCTCCCTTTCACAGATATCCGCAGCCGGTAACTTCGAGCTGGAAATATTAGAAATCTCAAACACCAACAGCCATCTGCTGAGCGGCTATTGCTGCGGCATGCCATCGGAATTAAGGGCCACCAAGACGATGGGTAAGTTAATGACAGGGTTTTTAATATTAACACGATTCGTAGGGCCCCTCTTAATAAGGAAAGTAGTATCTATAATAGCATAAAGCTACTTAAAAATGGAAAGTGAAATTATTACGACATTGAGAAAACAATTTAAAGCCTAAGAAATCTTTGCACATTTCTTTATTGCTAAAGAAATTTATATTCCTTTAGAAAATCGTGACATTCTCAAGCTGATATATTAAATTCCTGTTAAATAACCAAAGTTTATCTATAGAATTCTTCTGAGTTTGCTCATTACTCTTATCTTCCTCTAAAAGAGACGGTGGTCAAGGTTCCCCTTTTTTTGCACTTTGCAATATAATCTTTATGTTAATAAACCCAAATAATTATTATGCAATATACTTTAGTATATAACAGAATGATAACCGGAATTCCCTCGCTTTTGCAGGCTGCTCACCATGCACAACGGCATTCCGGCTGTGCCTGAAGGAGTACCAGACCACGGAGCAGGGTGCCAGCATATCCACGGGCTGCTCATTCGGCAACTCCACCACCAAGATACTCGGCGGCTCCAGCTTCGTGCTCAGCGATCCGGGAGTGGGAGCCATTGTGCTGCCCTTTACGTTTCGCTGGACGGTAAGTGCAGTGTTCCCAGTGTTCCCAGAGTTCCCTGGCCACGGAAGCCACGTTACACCATCATGGTCCCAGCACGCTTTTGGCACGAGCTGGCCCAACTCCAGCTCTCATTTTGGTCGTAATATGCCAGTTCTGGCGAGTCTAGATAGAGGCAGTGACTGGCTCTTGGTTCCGCATGGAGAGCTCAGGGCTGAGCTCGGCGCGATAAGGTCGAGCCGGCAACAGAAATGTGAATGAGCGCGGAGCTCGTGCCGGATTGATAAGAATGTATAACATACATATATATGGGCATTTCCACAGACATTTCAAGATAAAAGCTAGGAGAATTAATTTTTTAATTTAGGAATTTAATTTAAAACCGAAACTACTAGGATTTCCCTTCTGCAACTTGGTGAGTTTAGAAGAAAGCCCAGGGGAATGCCAACAAGTGTTGAGTTTCTCTTTCTTCTCGTCACTTCCTGTGGCCAAAGAATACAGCGTGGGTTCAACGTTGCCACAAAATCATCTGGCCTGAAAAGGTCTATAGCACCCAAAAGCGGCTTACTCATGCCCAGTCTGAGCCCGATCCAGAGCCCGATCCAGAGCCCTTCTTCGCACGCGGAGATTCTTCGGGCGTCGGTAGCCCGAAAAAAAGCAATTAAAAATTGTGTTTCATGTTTTATACTCGTATATTTTCCACCTCCTAAGCGGCTTTCGGTTAATTAAGTGAGCATAATGCGGGCTTATGACTGCCAAACTGGGAGGGAATAAAAAAAAAAACATATGGAGTGACCGAGAAAAAAAGCGAAACATAAAATAAACGTGGCCTGGTCTGCGGTGCTCTTAACTCGATTGAGGTAAAAATGTAACCTGACTGGGTGTAGTCGCAGATTTCAATTGAAGTTTTTCTTATTTTTGTTATTTCCCTCCCATTTTTATACTCTTGCCGTGTATTATAAAAATGGTATTAAAGTTTCAGTCAGAAGCTTCAAACTAAGTGAAGGAATCATTCAGGAATCATAATTCATATGACATCATTTTCAACAATTTAAATCCATTTGCAAACTGCAAGAGTATTAATACTTCGGTTTCTTCGAAGTTATTCCTTTCCTGTTGTTTTGTTATTTATATTTTTTATTCGGTTGGTATGTACGGCTGGAGTTCTGGTTGTCGTTGCCTCTGTTTCGCTGGTGTTCCAACGCTAACTTGGCTAACAATTACACGCCTCGACCAGGCCGGTATCCAAACTAATACGAGTGCGATTGGTAACAGGGCACACTTGCAAAAAACAGCACTAGAGAAGAGGAGGAAATTTAAAACCTTTTAAGGTCTAATTGAATAATTTTTAACATAATAAAAATAAGTTCTTTGAAGCAGTCAAAGCTTATTTTCTTCTGTTAAATACAATCTTCAAAGTAATGAGGATACTTGTTTTCATTTAAAACTTTTCAAATATTTCTATTTAAATATTTTTCGAGTGCAGTCTCTGTCGACGCTGACGTCGGCATGCGCCTGCGCAGTCGCTTACATTAGGCAGCCATCGAAGACCATCGATGACGACGAGGTGTGGCGGCGGAGGAGGCGGCGGAGGAGCAGCATGCGTCAGAGTCTCTTTGGCTTTGGGTCTTGGGTTTTGGGTCTCCTTGCTGTCGCTCCACCCGCCAAACATGCCGGTCCACGGCACACCATTCCACACCGTACACCATACCTTGCCGTGGCCACCACTCCCCCGAATCCCAGTCCCGCACCGAGTCCGAGTCCGACTCGAGTCGTGGCCTGAAGTGCGGACAACCTGTTTCGTGGGAACATTACCTTGTCGCGGTTGTCGCTCGGCCGATGGCGATGGCGATACGTTACGCTTCGCTTTGGTTTCGCTTTAATCTTTTGCCTTTGCTGGGGCTTTTCCTTTTTTTCTTATTTATGTTTCATGCGCTTTTGCCCAAGCTCAAACACACATGTGTTCTCCAAGACCTGTGACTGTGACTGCAGTTGAAATACTTAATTCTGGATATTTAAATAACGACTTTGGGAGAGTTTTGGGGAACAAAATAATGGGAAATCGTTAGAGATCTGTCTTTTAAAGTTCAAAAACAAAATTTGTTTTATTGTGGTGATTATTGAAAATGATTTTCATCACCGTAGACTTGAAAACAAGTACTTTTCTTGGGGTATTTTTTCTGCAAGTGTGCTTGGCAAATTCTGCATACTGCCTTCGTAATATTTGCCAGCAGACTGTGAGTCAAGTCAGGTTGCTCCGAGTTGAGTTGAGGAACCCTCGAGAAGCCTTTCACAAACTCATGAAAATTCTTCAAAAAAGCAGACAAAACTCAAGCGAAAGACGAATATGAAATAAAAAGAGCTGCTGCCGATCTGGTCGCAATTGTCCCACTTTTTATTGAATGACTTCTTCGACTCCATCCACGACTCCGGCTGATTGAGTGAATGGCATGTTGAGACTTATAAACATGACTTAGGAAATACTTAAGGCCCGAAGCACACACACCATACATCATAACCTCAGCGGGCCTTCAGTGTAACTGTCAAACACCATAGAGCCCCATAGAGGCCCTCGTCTCGGAAACATTCCCAAACTGTGTACAACCGAATTTCACTTGACAATATTTTCCACATCCAAGTTGATGATCTGGAGTGCGCGTGCGCGGCCATTGAGCGATCTCGAGTGGAATTTGCGGAGCCTCTTCTTGGGGCCCGGGAGACCTACCTGTTCCACTTTCCGCCTCGAGACTCTGCCGCGACTCGAACATGAATGACTGCCCAAATAAAATGTGTTTTGTGTGTGCTCCGTGGGCTTTTGATCCATTTAGCTACCTCCACAAAAAGTTATTGTTTTCCAAAAGAGACGCTGCTCTTCCTAAGGTAGCCATTGACGAAAGCGGGCTTCTCCACTCATGTGTCTGTAAACACATTTCGGTGGCCAATTCACAAACTCGGCGATTGTCTCGTTAAAAGCTACTTGATTTGATTGAAAAATGTTAGGGCAGAAAATAGACTTGCACAAATTTAGCTTCCCATTATTATTTCCGTGGTAACGATCTAGTTCAGACCTCCCGCCCATTGGCTCGTGTCACAGTCTGTCATCTCGCTTTTATTCAATGAAATCCAAAACCAAATTCAACGCCATTTTCAATTGATATACTTCCGCTGGCCAGGCCTGGCCATGCGCCCAGCAAGATTTCAATGCGAGTCCGGAACAAGGCAGAAAATATGAGACAGAAAATGGAATGGAAATTCGAGGCGGTGGATGGATGGATTTAGCAAAGTGTGTCAAGTTGTTGTTGCCATTGCTGGCCGACTGCAATTAGCCAATGTCTGCTTTGGACTGATTTAGTGTCGCGTCGCCAGGGCAATTACAGGGGAATCCCCGCTCCACTTGGCCCCCGCCTCCTACTGCTAAATGAGCATTTCCTGGCCTCCAGCGGCGGCGGCGGCGGCATCCAGACAACGTCGTCGCTTAATTGCTTTCCAGGCCCAATGAGAAATCTTCTACAAAACGGCGAATCTTCAATTTTTTATAGGCCCCATGCGAAGGAGTTTAAATAAGAAATCTGGAAAATATATATTTTCGAACCGAACGCGTAAATACGCTGGAAAGTCTTGTCTAGTTTTGTCAGAAAAATTACTTTAAAGTAATTTATATATTGTGAAATAGTTTTAACTTGTGTGTATTTACTTTAAAGAAGAGATGATTTCTACACAGAGTTAAAGTACAAAAGTATTGGAAATTGCAGTTTGTGTTTGCATTTTTGAGCCCACAACTTTTTAAATAAATCATAACAATATATAATAATATCGTTAACATTTAGCATTTTAAATAGCTTGATGCTTAATGTATTAAATTATCAAACTTTTCCTGATATTTCGGCACAAACTAATGGCCAAATGTATAACACCCTTGATGGCCAGGGTAATAAAGACCAAAACAAATCTAAAAACTAAAAGCGACTTGTGTCTGGTCTGTGTTTTGTTTTCGCATTTCTGTTTTGGCCAATTGCAATGCCACGGACGTGGATGTGGACTTGGACGTGGACGTGGACGTGAATTCGGACGCGGACATGGACATGGCCAGAGTCTGTTTAGAAAGTCCGCGCTCCTCCTGCGTGAAATTAAAGTGTTTAGCTTTGCCTCGCTTTTGTTTGTTGTCTGATCGCTTTGTTCGTTCGTTTGTTTGTTCGTTTCTTTGTTTGTTTGTTTGTTTGTTTGTTGGCTCGCCTGTCTGCGTTGTCTTCATTTGCATCCATGGCGAGCAGCTTGAGATTAAACTGTCCATTAGCGTCACCAGAGACCTGAAAAAAGCTCCGAGACCCCGAACTAAATGCCACTTTTCCCTCCTCTTCTCAACGTTCAATTACAGAAGTCGTTTACGCTGATACTGCAGGCGTTGGATATGTACAACACATCCTATCCAGGTAAGTGCGGTGGCAATTGCCGACTGGCGCTCGTTACTAGCCGAGCAGCATGCTGCATGCAGCCCCTTGTTGCAAGTTCCTCGTTGCAAGTTGCTAGCAGCATGTCGCTCGTTACTGTGTGCCAGAGCCAAGGCATTTGGCTTAATTAGCCAAAGAAGACAAAGAGGTGCTCAAAGAGTACACTTGCGAGAATTAGGGGTTAAAAGCTTGCAGACAAGAGTGAAGATCTGCCTTTTGTCAACTGATTAGTAAAATAATGTTATAAAGTAAATGTATTAAGTATGTATATTATATATTTCAAAATTGAATAGTTAGTCAGAAAACCTCGGTTTAAACTCATTTCAGAGTGAAGCTATTTAAATTCCTTGTACTATTTTCTTAAGCTCTAAAAGCTATACTAATTCTCCAAGTGTACCCTTAAGCACTTGAAATGGTGCCAAACAACTGACTAAATTCTCCATCTGCCCACTCTCCCACTTTGCCACTCACCCCTGTGATCCTGGTCCTGATCCATTGGAACGCCAACGTTGATGCCACCAACCACGAATCCAAATCCGACTACAACTACGACTGCGACGACATCCACAACAATTGTCATGCCACGCTCGCATCCGACTCCCAATCCCAATCCCAATCCGACGACGCCAAAATGCAGATGCGGAGAGGTTAATTGAGGAAACATCATACTCGGGCGTGATACTGCCAGCGCCGGAGTGGAAGACGCTGGACCACATCGGCCGCAACGCCCGGATCACCTACCGCGTCCGGGTGCAATGCGCCGTTACCTACTACAACACGACCTGCACGACCTTCTGCCGGCCGCGCGACGATCAGTTCGGCCACTACGCCTGCGGCTCCGAGGGTCAGAAGCTCTGCCTCAACGGCTGGCAGGGCGTCAACTGCGAGGAGGCCATCTGCAAGACCGGCTGCGATCCCGTCCATGGCAAGTGCGATCGACCCGGTGAATGCGAGTAAGTGCACAAGGAGAAATATTTGGTTTCCCCTTATTAAAATATATTTATTTTATTATTAAAAGAGGTGGCAGTAGAAACTCATGACGATAGTTACTAAATTATAACCTTCTATCAATGTATCTAGAATTCCTACAATTTCCAGATAGTAGAAAGTATATTTTCTCAACCTTTTCGCACTGTGTATGTTGAGTTACCTGTTTTTGGTAGTTTTTGCCATATTTTTATACCCACCTTTGGTGTAATTACGACCCCCGGCAACCCCATTTAACGATGTGATTATGACACTTTTTGCATGTGCCCAGAGCGGAGTTTGGGGCCGCCGCACTTAATGGCTCTGGCCCCGAAGACCAGGGAGTCAATGGAGTCCACGGCTCACCATTGACAGGCCAAGTCCCAGAGAGGCACTCCACTCGCACAGTTATAATGGCCAAGAGTGGTTTCTGTCTTTCTTATTTTTTCTTTTTTTTTGGTTGTGTGATCAGAGGCGGGAAAATGGGTTCTATAGCTCACACATAAGGCGGGTTTTTCTACCAACTCTGGTTGAGTTTTTTCTCTTTTCTTAAGACAAAATGTGTGAAATAGTTAAAAGAGTTTCTCTCACATGTTCCTTATGGGATGCAAATAACCAAACGGGATTTAAACGAGTATAAAGTTTCCCAAAATATCAAAACTAAAGTAATATCCTCTGTTCCCATTAAGACTCCCTATTTAGTTATTCAAAGAGTTCGTTACTGTATTTAAAAGCTCCTTCTTTCCCTGATCTAATCACGCTGCTTCCCAATCAACCGGCGTCGTTCCCGCCGCATTCCTTATTAAATTGTTCGCACTCGGTAACTGCCCATTTGGGAGATAACCCCGGAGTGCTATAAAGTTGTAACCAGCCGTATAATCGGCAATCAAGTGCCAGAGCCAATACGATTCCCGGCCAGCGAAGCAGGCTAATCAAACGCCCGCACGATGGCCAAAAGCTGATCATGGCCAGAAGACCTCCTCCTCGCTCTCCGCTCCTCTCTTCCCAGGCACCAGCTCCAAGTGCTCCGACTTCGCAACCACCTTTTGGGTTGGGGGCTTCTCGGTCCGCCCCCTTGGAACGGTCATGCACAGACATTGGCAACGTGGAGTGGCACAGCAAGAGCTGAAGCCTGCACCAAGAGAAATTAAAGCTAAGAAGTAGGAATATATATCATACTCGTAGTTCAAAAAGGAGAGTTCCTTTGAGATATTTTTAAAACCTATTTTCGTATCGAATGATAGTAAGAAGCAACCCCCTATTTATTGCTGTGCATTCAAAGAGCAGAGCACGAAAAAACGTTTGCGCTTCGGTTGTTCCTGTTGCAGCAGTTGCTGCTGCAGCAATAGTTGCTGCCGTTGTTAATGTTGCAGCGTAACACAGAATACGTGAGCCGGCGGCCATGATTGCATTTCTCGACCGCATCATGGGGCTCTCCATCAGCCAGCGCCAAGCTGCAGCCCCATCGCCATCTCTCGTCCTGATTCTAAATAGCAATAATTAGCGTGGCCTAGAAAACATCAAAAGTCTGTAGATTTCCGCTCCGTTGCAACAATTATAAGCCAGAAGAAAAATTACTTTTGCTGTTTGCACGTTGCTGAAACTGGAGTTGGAGTTGGAGCTGGAGCTGGAGCTGGAGTTGGCCACTGATCCGCCGCCAGATAGAGCCTGAACGGGCTGCCGTTTTAATGAAATCATAAATAACCAACGGAGCGAATGACTATCGCAGACCATGTCATGCCCGGGGCTTGTAGAGTTAGCACCTCGCCGGGAGATAACTCGGCGATGGCTGGACCTGGACCTGGACCTGGACCTGGCTAACTTTGATCCCGCTGCACTCTGGCGTGTTGCGGCGATAAAATCGCCAAGTTTGTAAGCTGCACTGCCACTTTAGCATTTGATGCATCAAGGCCAAAGTTCAGAGTGACCCAATTCGGTGGTTTGGCCATAGGATCGGTCCCCAGACATGGACAGAACCAAGCCAGAGCAGCGTTCCCAGGCCAAATTGAAATGTAAAAACAAAGAGCAGAAACAGTCGAGATCGATGGATGAATAATGGGTGGAATGTTTTCCCAAGATGCAGATAACCTTCTTAAGGGTTCTTTTATTAGTTATAGTTTTTATAGTTGGAAAAAGTAAATTTTAAAAGGCTTTACTCTGATCGGAACTCCTTCCTAAACTTTCCCTCAAGCTGCAAGTTACCTCTGCTTACTATTAACTTTATGTTAAAGTTCAACATTCATTTCTATGCTCCATTTTCTCAAAGGGAACCTCCGTGGAACTTCCCATGGTAGAGCCCACCTGTAGATATGCTCCATTACGCAATCAGTGTTACGGACTCATCTTTCTTCTCCTGCAATATGTTCCCAGGGATCCTTCAACTTTTGATCTAACCCCGGGTCCTCCATGCTTCATTTATCCATTTGCAAAACTCATCACCCCATTCCTTCCGTTCCTCCCATTCCAGATGCAGACCCGGCTGGCGAGGTCCCCTGTGCAGCGAGTGCATGGTCTATCCCGGCTGCAAGCATGGGTCCTGCAACGGCAGTGCCTGGAAGTGCGTCTGCGACACCAACTGGGGCGGCATACTGTGCGATCAAGGTAGGTGACCCCACGCAATTACGGGGATCGAAAGTGGAACGGGGCACCAAGTGGGGATTGGGAGTCGATAATCATAGTTTCCCCCCTCTATCTCTCTCTGGACAGATTTAAATTACTGCGGCACCCATGAACCCTGCAAGCATGGCGGCACCTGCGAGAACACCGCCCCGGACCAGTACCGCTGCACATGCGCCGAGGGACTGTCGGGCGAGCAGTGCGAGATTGTGGAGCACCCGTGCGCCACGCAGCCCTGCCGCAACGGCGGCACATGTACGCTCAAGGTGAGTCCGCGGATTGTCCGTCCCCAAATCCTGCGATTTATGCACCTTTTCGCAGTGCCATAAAATTATTTAATACGCTCGGAACCCCCACCATCTGGGGTATATCTAGCGTGCACTTGGAAAATAGAGTCTTGATTTAGCTAAATAAATTCTTGATGAAGAGGAGACTAATAACCTAGCCTTCTGCTGGTACTTTCTATAATTTAAATATTTTAAACTAGACCTAGATTGCATTCACTACCTAATTTTTACGAGTGTACGTGGTCTCCTCTTGCAGCCCATGAATGCAACGCGACCGCCAATGTACCGCATCATGCGCGGCATGGGCTCCCTGGGAAAACCGATAAGCCGCCGCGAATCAATCCGCAGCCTGGAGCACCTGCGCCTCAAGGAGGACGCGGCGCGGAATGGCAGCGGCCCGAGCCTGGGACGGGGGGCAGTGAGCCTTGTGGCCCAGCAGCAGCAGCCACTGATGACGCCGCCGGCCGCCGGCTTCACTTGCGGCTGTGCGGCCGGATGGACGGGACCGACATGCGAAATAAGTGAGTTTTTCGATTTAATTTTATTCTGCAGCACGCGATTAGCCACAGCCACAGCCACAGCCTGGCCGCAGCTCTTGGCCATTTACGTTTTGTTGGCCAAGTGCTCAGAGTGTGTGTGTGAGTGAGTGTGTGCCTGGGTGGTGTTTCTTGGTGTGTTGTGGCGTTGCCTCTCGATCATGCAATTGAGCACACACACGCACTTGAGTGTAGCGAAATGAAATGAAGTGAAATGAAATGAAACGTAGCACGCACAGGCAGGCTATGGCTGTTATTTTTGATTATTTCGAGGTATGATTGTTGTGGCCACGGTGGTCCAAGCGAATTCGGTTCGGTTTTGCATTCCAATTGGAGCACGACCGACAGCCACATTCACCAGACTCTCTATTTGCAATAAGCCATACGCTGATTGAGTTGCCAATTCCCCAAAAACGAAGCTGAAGGATTTGCATTAGGTTACCTTTTTGTATTACAAATAACATACATGTTACCAACCTCTGCATTTAATGTTCCTGCTTAAGAATTAAATTATTAAAGAAAAACCCCTTGCCTGGAAGACTTCTCTCAAAAATAATTGATTCCACAACGGCTTAATTAAGCTTAAATTCTGCTTAACAATTTCCTGCCTTCTTTTGATATCATCTGACCCTTATTGGCGGCTAATGGGGCAAGCCAAAGGGTCAGGACTGCATATTTTCGGGGTGCAATCCTTATCAGCTTCCTTTTTGGCAAGAGGCAAACAAATGAGTTGCGTGTTACCGGAGAGAGAGAGATGAGGAAACGGGAGACTGGCTGCAAGAAGGAAGCGGAGACTCCTTGCAGATCTCAGGCGAGCGATAAGCTAGGCACGCAGCCCAAAGACTGCAGACTGAAGCCACCACAACACAACCACCGATCCGCCAGCTAGGTCAATGACTTGGCCAAGAGCCACCTGCTCGAGCTGCTTGAGAGCTTAGCCAACAGCAAAGTCAACACATTCACTGGGGGAAATAGTGTTCATAAATGGGGATCTTGACTAACAATACAAATAAAATGAGAGATCAGAAATAGGGATTAGGTTTGTCTTAATCCTCGACTTGACCCTCTCATTTAGAACCTTTAGAAGTAAAAAAGTTAGGAAAACAAATTCCCTGTAGATTTTTCTCGCAGTGTTTGCACTTTATCCGCGGATGGCACTTAACAATCTGCTTGAATTTCCCGCTCCCGCTCTCCTCCCCAGACATCGACGAGTGCGCCGGGGGTCCCTGCGAGCATGGTGGCACTTGCGTGGACTTAATCGGCGGCTTTCGCTGCGAGTGTCCGCCGGAGTGGCGCGGCGGCGTCTGCGAGGAGGACTTCAACGAGTGCGAGGCACCGCATGCTCCGGGACTGCCGCCCAACTCCCTGCTGACCACCACGGCCAGTGCCATTATTGGAGGGAATCTGAGCAGCTCCGAGCTCCTCGCGGCGCTGACCCGCGCCGTGGAGTCCTCGGCCTCGGCGATCGGACCCTGCATCAATGCCCGGGAGTGCCGCAACCAGCCGGGCTCCTTCGCCTGCGTCTGCCTGGAGGGCTGGGGCGGACCCACCTGCGCCGAGAACCTGGACGACTGCATGGGCCAGTGCCGTAACGGAGCCAGCTGCATTGACCTGGTCAACGACTACAAGTGCGCCTGTGCCCCCGGCTACACGGGCCGGGACTGCGAGACGGACATCGACGAGTGCGCCACCTCGCCCTGCCGCAACGGGGGCGAGTGCCAGGACATGGTGGGCAAGTTCAACTGCATCTGCCCGCTGGGCTACTCGGGATCCCTGTGCGAGGAGGCCAAGAACCACTGCGCCTCGTCGCCCTGCATTCAGGGCAGTTGCCACAACACGCCCGGCAGCTTCTATTGCTACTGCCCACCGGATCGCGCCGGCAAGCTGTGTGAGCAACTGCGTCCGCTCTGCTCCCAGCCACCTTGCAACGGTAAGAGAATATATATATAAAAAGCACAGACCTCCAAGAAGCCCTGGGAATGATCCCAGCCCAATGAAGACATCATTAAGCCCATCAATGGCAGCTTTTTTGTCGTCTCAAAGATCTCAATAATAGCCCACACTGGCAAACTAGGGAAATGTTTGATATTTACTTGAAGAAATAGTCCTAAACTGTATATATTGTTTCTCCCAGTGCAATCCTGCTATAATAATAAGCCTAATCATGTCTCCCCCCCCCCAAACAGAGGGCTGCTTTGCGAATGTCACTTTGGCGGCAACCGGGCAACCATCGTCCTCAGCCACGACTTCCACTTCGAGTTCCGCCACCTCCTCCACCTCCTCCTCCTCCTCCTCCTCCTCCGTGGCCAGCACGATGACAACGCCGAGCGGTTTGCCCTGCAGCGGGCAAGGCAGCTGCGAGACGGGCGACGCGGGAACCTTCTGCAAGTGCCATGTGGGCCACACCGGCACCTTCTGCGAGCACAGTGAGTAGTCCCGACTCCCGAGTCCCGAGTCCCGAGTCCCTGGTCCCGGCTCCTCCTTTGACCGACTCAGCAAACTCATTAACTTTCCGCAGATCTCAACGAATGCTCGCCGAATCCTTGTCGAAACGGGGGAATTTGCCTTGACGGCGACGGCGACTTTACATGCGAGTGCATGTCGGGCTGGACAGGTGAGTCGGATGTCTCGGGTTGGCATGAGATGAGTCCCAGCTCAACTGGGACGAACTGAACCGAGCCGAGCATGGTCTGGGGTGCGCTTTAAGCGGCCGCCAAAGTGAACGTCAGGAAAGAGCGTTGCAACAAGTGCAGGCGACAGCGCAAAGTTTATAAAGTCGAAGGACCAATACCCTAACTCTTCATTATTACATTAGATAGCTTTTGAACACTTTTAATTTGTATTCCTTTTTCATTAGTTATTTTATCGTTCCTCCTTTCAAACCAAACCAGTTAAATAATGGAAAGAACTCCTTGGAGAGGGCATCTAAAAAACCTGCTGTAAGCTGGCTGACGAGGCGCATTATCAACGCTTGGGGGGCTTTAAATGGGCGCGAGACGGCAAAGAGCCATGTGTGTGTGTGTGTGTGTGTATGTGTGTGTTGGCCACGTTAAGAGCAGCGCTACGCTCTCACATGCTGGTACTCGAGCGCACAGAAATAACGATCGAGACGGTCGCATTTATTTGAACATTGAAAGTCGGCAGTCATTACGGCCTCAAATTGAAGCGAATGCGCGGCTGAGCCACAAAAAACTCACAAGCTCACACAAGATATATATATATATATATATCGGCGAACGTATTTGCCACATGTGGCAGCTTCGAGGGGGGCTAAGCCGAACCTTTGCCATGATTTATGTTTGTTTTTAATATGCGATTTGCATATTTCACGCGTTTCGCTTTTTTGTCACAGATTCGGCCAGAGTTTACGTTAGACACAGCTAGGGAAATATATATATATAGATATAGATATAGAGGAGATACGGAGATACCACATCGATCTATGTCAGCACACTTTTACTTTTCAATTAGTTCAGCGGTCACGGTTCCCCAACAAATAATAAAACAAAAACAAAAAAATAGTCCCACACTCCCAGCAAGTTCGTTGCCTAAGTCTTTCGTTTTTTTGGCAAAGAAAAATGTTAGCCTGGCGGTTTTTAAGTGATTTTAAAGTCAAATATTTGGCTTAAATGTGGGCTTAACTTGGTTTTGCCAATAAATATTATTTTCATGTGTTTTTTTATTCTTCATTAGGTAAGCGGTGCTCGGAACGCGCCACCGGCTGCTATGCCGGGCAGTGCCAGAACGGCGGCACCTGCATGCCCGGAGCCCCAGACAAGGCCTTGCAGCCCCACTGCCGCTGTGCTCCCGGCTGGACGGGACTCTTCTGCGCCGAGGCCATTGACCAGTGCCGCGGGCAGCCGTGCCACAATGGCGGCACCTGTGAGTCGGGCGCGGGCTGGTTCCGCTGCGTCTGTGCCCAGGGATTCTCCGGTCCGGACTGCCGCATCAATGTCAATGAGTGCTCGCCCCAGCCTTGCCAGGGCGGAGCCACCTGCATCGACGGCATTGGAGGCTATAGCTGCATCTGTCCCCCAGGACGACATGGTCTACGATGTGAGATATGTAAGTGACTTTAATTTATACTGAGCAAGAGCGGAACTTACTTTTGGGAATTAAATTGAAGGATTTTATGGGAAATCGATCATAACTAAGTTTAAACTTTGAATTTTTTGAAACAATATTTATCAATATTTTTATATGACAATTTTTAGGGAAAATCAAACATTTTCAAATATCATAACTAAGGCAAAAATGCATTAATTTCAATTCGGAAAGCATTCCTGTGTTAGTTTTTTTTAGGTTAACAAATCTGCATACTCAATTAACCATTTTAAAAAATTACATTTTTTGTCAATTTTTTTGACAATTTTAACGTTGTAACCCCTTATAAAATTTTAAAAATTTTGAAAAAATTAAATTTTTGTTGGACATGGCTTAAAAGATTAGCCTGTTGATGCTGATCGAGAATATATATGATATATAGGGTCAGAAACGACTTCTTCAGTGCGTTTTACTCTTCCGACTTAATTTATATTATTATATTTGTGTCGATATTTGTATATGACAATTTTTTCGAAAAATCAATGCTTAAAAAACTCATAACTGAGCCAAAAATGAATTAATCTTAATTCGAAAAGCAGTCCTATGTTAGTATTTGTTAGGTAAATAAATCTGCATACTTTATTTACAATTTTATGAAATCAAAATTTTTGGCAATTTTTGACAATTTTAATGATGTAACCCCTTATAAAATTTAGAAATGTTCAAAAAAAATTTTTTTGTCGAAAATGTCTAGATCGATTCATCTTTTTATGCTGATCAAGAATATATATACTTTATATGGTCGGAAATGACTCCTTGACAAAGTAATAAGCTCTTAAATGATATTATAGTACCATTCTTTGAATCGATATTTATCAATATTTTAATGACAATTTTTCAGACAAAGCAAAGTATAAAAAACTCATAACTAAGTAAAAAATGCGTTAATTTCAACTCGGAAAGCTGTCCTATGTTAGTTTTTATTAGATTAACAAATCTGCATACTCAATTTAAAAATTTTAAAAATCTGATTTTTTGTTGTAATTTTTTGACAATTATGACGATGTAAACCCTTAAAAACTTCAAAAATTAAAAAAATAATAAATTTTGCCGTTTATAGCTAGATCGATCCGGCTGCGGATGCTGATCACGAATATATATGATTTATAGGGTCGGAAACGACTCCTTCCCGTCTTTTAAAGCTTCTGACTAAAACTATAATACCATTTTTTTGAGTCGATAATATTTATATTTTTATATGACAATTTGTTTAACAAATCAAAGCTTAAAAATCTCATAACTAACCCAAAAATGCATTAATTTGTATTCGGAAACCACTCCTATGTTAGTTTTTAGTATGTTAATCAATCTGCATACTCAAATTAAAATTTAAAAAATCTAAATTTTTACCAATTTTTTGACTATTTTAACGATGTAACCCCTTATAAAATGTTCAAAATTTTTTTAAAATTAAATTTGTATCGGACATGCCTAAAAAGATTCGTCTGTTGATGCTGATCAAGAATATATATGATTTATAGGGTCGGAAATGAATCCTTCACCTTTTTACAAGCTTCTGACTAAAATTAAAATACCTTTAGGGTGATTTAGAAATTTAAAAAGTCGTAATTTATCCCATATAAATCCCCAAATTAAATACCCCATTACTTCCCCATTTATAGTGCTCTCTGATCCCAAGTCCGCCTGCCTGAACGTCAGCAACACCATCTCCCCGTACACGGCTCTGAACCAGAGCCAGAACTGGCTGGACATTGCCTTGACCGGAAGAAGGGACGACGACGAGCACTGCAATGCCTGTGTCTGCGAGAATGGAACCTCCAGGTGCACTAACCTCTGGTGCGGACTGCCCAATTGCTACAAGCTGCTGGATCCCCTGTCCAAGTCCTCGAATCTCTCCGGCGGCGGAGTGTGCAAGCAGCACGAGGTATGTGTCCCAGCGCTGGGCGAGACCTGCCTCTCGCCGCCCTGCAATCTGCGTGGGGATTGCCGTGCCCTGGAGCCATCGCGCCGCGTGGCTCCCCCCAGTCTGCCGGCCAAGGCCAGCTGCTGGCCAAACCAGGCGGTGGTCAATGAGAACTGTGCCCGGCTCACCATCCTCTTGGCTTTGGAGCGCGTCGGCAGAGGGGCCTCTGTGGAGGGTCTGTGCTCCCTGGTGCGCGTCCTGCTGGCCGCTCAGCTGGCCAAGGAGCCGGGCAGTACTGGCGGTCAGGAGGGGCAGCAGGGAATGCTCATGGTCCTGTGCGATCTCAAAACAGGCACCAATGACACCGTCGAGCTGACTGTGGTAAGTGCTGCCTACTTTTTTCCAATTTAAATGACATAATTTAGAGTTTGTTGAATTACCCTTAATTACCCCCCTAACCTGATGATCCCTTCTCCCACTTTCAGTCCTCCAGTAGACTGAATGACCCGCAGTTGCCGGTGGCGGTGAGACTCTTGGGCGAACTGCTCAGCTCCCGGCAGCTGAACGGCATCCAGCGGCGCAAGGAACTGGAGATGCAGCAGCTCCAGCTGGCGGCTCTAACCTCCATTGTGGAGGTGAAGCTAGAGACGGCCAGCGTGACGGATGGGTCGCGGCACAGCCTGCTGATCGGAGTCCTTTGCGGCGTGTTCATTGTCCTGGTGGGTTTCTCGGTGTTCATCAGCCTCTACTGGAAGCAGCGGCTGGCCTATCGCAGCAGCTCGGGCATGAACCTGACGCCCTCCCTGGACGCCCTGCGGCACGAGGAGGAGAAGTCCAACAACCTGCAGAATGAAGAGAACCTGCGTCGCTACACGAATCCTTTGAAGGGAAGCACTAGCTCCTTGAGAGCAGCCACCGGCATGGAGCTGAGCCTGAATCCCTCGCCCGAGCTGGCAGCAGCGGCCAGTGGCTCCGCCCTGCACCGCTCCCAGCCGCTGTTCCCGCCCTGCGACTTCGAGCGGGAGCTGGACTCCAGCGCCAGCCTGAAGCAGGCGGCGGCCCACAAGCGCAGCTCCCAGATCCTGCTGCACAAGACCCAGAACTCGGACATGCGCAAGAACACGGTGGGCTCGCTGGACAGTCCGCGCAAGGACTTTGGCAAGCGCTCGATCAACTGCAAGTCCCTGCCACCCTCGCCGGGTGACGAGGTGGGCCCCGATGTACTGGCCACCACTGTTATGGTTTAGCCATGATCTCACCAACCCATCAGCCAAGCAATCAATCCAGCAAGCAATCAATCAATCAATCAGCAACCATGCAGCCGCCCACAGCCACAGCTCAAAGTTCCAATTGCCACAGCACGGGCGCGATTTCCAAGTGCATTAGTAGCGTTATGTTAAAGTATAAATCGAATTTAGGTATAGAGGGACTCCACACGGGGAAGGGCATACGTAATCTTGCATCTAATCTTGCTAGAAAGGGTGGGTTTTACTCTTTGGACAGTTCTTGGTAATTTTGGTATAGTTTTTCAACCATGTATTTATTTAATTAACTGAAAAGCCTTTCATCTGTGTGGGGTCCCTGGATTTTTGTTTTAATTACTTAAGTTTTAGCTAGTTTAATTTCAAACTCTTCTCTTCGCTAAGCAACATCCTACACAGTGTGATATTTAGTGTAACCCAGACGCGCATTTAATTTCCTTTGACACTACTAAACGGAAACCTTTAAAAACAAATAAAATATAAACAAACTCAAACTGTACATAGTTCTCAATCTAGGCGCGCTCTAAACGATTAATAGTAATAACAATAATAATAGTAAGATTAAGCTGTAAATACTGTAAATTAGCAGTTACCGTTATTGTATTTTGTCTATAGATAGAATCCTAGAGTTAAGCACTAAGCAACGCGTTAGACTTTAAAAGTTGTTTGCAATAATCTAGGGCTTACGACCGATCTAAGTAATAATAGTTTAGGTAGCTAAGTTAAAGCACCGGATTTTGTATTGTATTATATATGTACGTACGTGTGTTTGTGTGTCTGTTTAGTAATATTTATTTATTATTTTAACTTTGATCTAGCAGCAATAAAGCGAATATCAATAAAGATAGTAAAAGATAAACGAAATTTATGGTTGTTCTTTCTGGGATTAAGTTATAAAGGATATGGAAAAGTAAGTATGTTTTTCATTTAAGTTTCAGCTAAAGAAAAAAACCAAGTAAATGGATTTTAAGGATGTGTTTTTAAAGCGAGCTCATCTGATTCCTTTGACATAACTTAGCTGAGGACCATTCGGAGGACTCTGTCTTGCATGGACAGCATTTCCTGTCATTAGGAAGAGAAGAGAAATATGCTCCGAGTTGGGATCCCATTTGAAATATGCGCTAATTGAATGTGAAAACCAAATGCAAGCCCGAAGGACGCACCAGCGAATCGGAATCGAAGGAGATCAGAAGGTCGACGGCAGAGAGAAGAAAGCGAAATCGACAAGCAATGCATTTCGCGTTGTTCGGTTTCTAATTAAAATGCCAAAAACGAGCCGCTCGAATCGAACTAAGCTCCAGCCTCGGCTCCAGCGGATCATCAAGGCCTCGAGGAGCAGGAGTGGAACCCCAATGTGCGTAAAACAAAACGAAATGCCCAAGTTCTCTCTACATATATGAGTGTGTGTTGTTAATGAAGCAGAAAATGCCAGGAATTTTCGCTTGATTGTGCGCGGCCTCTTGTTCTCCTATACTCGTCGATGCACTGAAAACAAATAAATGTAAAGATTTTCCAATATAAATATTTTCAGAAAAGAAAATAACAAGTACAAGTAAGGACTTCTAGGACAGTGAATACAACCCGATGAAGCAACTTGAAGATAAAAGTGGAGGTGATCACAACTTTATTCTCGATTGACTCATTTGCTTATTAATTAAGCTCTATATTTATTCTCTGAGTGTATGGCGGCCCAAGTGTTTTATTTAGTTATTGAACAGTGCTAACCCAGACCTGAGAGTTTTGGTAGCCGCCCTTTTGCGAGCCTCTGTGGCAGCAGTGAGCGAAATTTAAGCGGCATTTTTGGCGCTTTTTTCTGCATTATTCTCCTGGTTTTTTATTATTTTTGTTTACCTGCCAGCCTCTCCGCTGATGTTTCGGTGGTTGTTGCTGTTTTTTTAATTAACGCGCGATACGTTTTCGACTTTGAAGGGCCAAGGAGTGCACATGATGGGCATATAACTCATTGGAATTATGGTGGCCGGTGGACGAGGATGAGGCAGCAGGAACAGAGGCCGGTCCTCGAGTTCAAAAGTGGCCACGGCGAGAACAGAATGTACATAAACTTTATCCGTCTATAATCTAAATATGTTTCTCTGTTGCCGTTGCCGTTGCTCTTTGCGGCGCGCTGTCGTGGCTGTTGCAACAATTTGCAGCAAATTGAAAGCCAATTACGTTGTTTGCAGCATGCCAAGGCAGAGCGAGAGCCGCGGATCGGATCGGATCGGCCCGGATCGGAGTCGGAGTTGGAGCAGAGTAGAGGTCTCTGGGCAGGCAGACAGGCGCAATGGCGAGGCACACAGGCCAGCACAGAGGCCTCGCTGGTAGACGACATAAATATCAAATACAGGTCCATAAATTTGAAACCAATTAGCCAACTTAAATTGATAATAGTCGTAGTAGCTGCCGCAAGAGTCGGATCCTAGCATTTGCCTACCACTGGCCCAAGGAGGAGGATCTCCCGCTAATGGCAGTGCGATTTGATGACATACGTCGCTCGTGTTGAGCCGCCAATTTTGCGACCGACAATTGCCGGCTGGCCATATACGTAAGGAGCTACCAGGACCAATGGCCGCGTCTTGTATGTATGTCGGATGTCGTGCCTGTCGTGTCGTTCTAATCACAATTGCTGACTGCTGCCCCTGCTGCTGCTGCGCCTTTTTATGGCGCTTTTATGCAAAACAACTTAATTTCAAATCCCCAATCCCCGAGTCCAGTCCCAATCCCAATCCTAATCCCGGCAACAACAATGCGCCGCGTAAAATATGCACTCAAGGAGGAAGGAGCCGCGAAACGAAAGACTCTGGCAGCGAACTCGTACAAATGTTCCGTCCGACGACGAAAGCTGTTATAGAAAATTATCTGAAACTGATTTGATATATATTCAAATAGGCGCTGTGCGACACATGTTGCTGCTGTTACATGCAACATTGCCGTATTTGTTGCACGCAGCAGCAGCAGCAGCAGCAGCAGCAGCAGCAACGAGGAGCCTTCTCCTGGTAGCCTGGTAGTCTTGTGTCGTTGTTATTTGTATGAAATGCTATGGATAACATCGCTAGCAGTAAACGTTTAGTTTGTGTTTTAATTAAAATATTTTCCTGCCACCAGCGGCCACTGGCGGAGGAAGATTGTCGTTGAGAAACACGCTGCAACTGCAACTGGCGACGGGATCAAGATCCAGAGCCACATCCGTGTCGTGGTCGACAAGTGGCATTTATAAGCAACATTATAAACTAATTTAGGCGGGGAGTTGGATTGGCTAATAGACCTGGGGATTGTCCGAGAGAAAGCTAAAAGAAAATAACTTAACTAAGTTTGATACAAAACTAAGAAAATGATTTAAAAAGAACTTTAGTAACATATTTTCCTTAGTGTACTATTTACGAATAAAAAAATCAAATGAAATGATAAATTCGATTAGAATGCCAAGCCATTAGGAGGTAATCCTCCTAACCATTTAAGCCCCCTTAGCGGCCATTAATTGATTAGCTTAGCCCCCCTAAAAGCCATCTCCGAAGAGGGAGAAAGACGGGCCGAAATCACCGAGGAATCACGCTTTATAAATGTCAGGAGGCGACATTAATGTAGCGCATTTATCTAATTAGACAAGCGTTTTGAGCATCCACGCCAAATAAATTAATCAGCTAATTGATGAGCATCAATTTCGGCCATGCAAATGAGATGGTACCGGCTCCGAGCCCAGTTTATTGATGGCCAAACCACATTAAATCGGGCAAATGAGTGCGGAGTCGGGGCCACCCACCGGGAAGTTGGCAAATCCGAAGACCAGGAGGAGAAAGCTGGGCCAGGTGCCTGGGCACCGGGCGACAACTCAATTAATAACAATTTCTCAGAACAATAAGCCGGGCGAGGCAAGAGTGTGTGCAATCCTTTTTGGCCAACATTTGATTATCTCACGGACAGAGTTGGCCGCTTCTGCTGGCTTTAGCCATGCTCGTTGCTGTTGTTAGCTGTTGGTGTTTTTTTCTCGCTATCGGTGCTGCCATCGGGGCGGTCGGCGTTGCGGAATTAGCCGCTCTGGGCCTGAACTCTGGCGGAGAGCAGCACGAGGTCGTGGCCAAATTGCCAGGCCATGCTTGCAGACTTCTTTTTTGGCTTTTTGCCTTTTGTTTTAATTGAAACCCGTACGAAATGGAAAATGGGAAATGGGAAATGGACTTTCAACTTGCCAGTTGAGTGAATTAGCCACACGGCCAAAAATATTTTATATGGAAGTATAAAAGCTTACAAAAATCAAGCAAGAAACCTACAATGGCGAGAGAATCTATGAAATAAAGCTTTGTTGCTAAGATTCTGGGCAAATTTGGATGAGAACATGTTGAGCAACCCACCCCTGTTGTAGAAGCAAACTTAATTTGTTGAAGCTTGAAAAACGAATTTTCTCCCAGTGCATCAAGACTATTTCTAATTTTTGGAACCCAGTGCATTGCAGGGCAGTTGGAAAATTTATGGCGGTGTCGAAAATAGCGCCAGCAACTACTCGGGGAAGGCAAAGACGAAGACGATGCGAGCTCGAAGATGTTGATAGCTTTAGCTGAAGTTACTTTCTAATGCTGCTGCAGACAGCAGATGAGGATGTGGATGTGGATGAGGATGAGGATGCATTGCCCACGAAAGTCATAAGCGCAAGAGAGGCAATTAAGTTCGAGCGACAAGTTGCGCCGCTGGAAGCCAGGAAACTCTGACCAGGCGACCGCAGATCTGGAATCGCTTCGCTGCTGCAGCTTGAGTTGGAGTTGGAGCTGTTACATGTTTATGGCTCGAAACGGATCGCACGTAATGGGATTTGCGCTGAGCGACAGCGATAGCCTGTGACTGCAACGGGCATAGTCGCAGATTCAGACTGGGTCTGGCCTCGACTCCACCGCCTCCAGCGCCTCCAGCGCCTCAATAAAGCCGATCGCATTACCAATTAGGCGTGCACACTCGGCTAAACAGCCGCCTCCTTCTGGCAAGTGGAAATTGAATTAGTTGTCGCTTCATATGCGTGACTAGCTGCTGCGGCCCAGAGGAGATCCGTGCTCGGATTTTGTATGCACAGTAAGTAAAATTGTATTAACAGTGCAAGTTTGATGAAAAATACTATGAAATAACCACGATAATTAAATGAAGTCCTTCACTGCATTGTTTAAATTGCATTCTCCTACAATATAATCATCGTTTCTATGTTCATTTCAATTTCTTAAATGTTTTTCTTTTTTATAATAAGTATATAAATTGACCAGCTTTATTTCCCGTGTATTTTCAAAACCTGCAGCTAGCTTGAGAGCCTGAGGCTGGTTTCGCTTTTGGCTTTCGGGCTTGGGTGTCGCCGTTCGTTTGTGTAAACACTTTTTACACTTTGCCACATTCCTGGGCCGCGCGCATAAATCAGCCCAGTGCTCGCCTGTCAATCTGCAAAGCTGCGCCATCGATAGCATCGTCGTAGCGTGGTCTGCGAGGAGTCGAGGCTTTTAGCAAGTGCTCCCAACAGCTGGCTGGGTGTGCGCCTGCTAGTTGTGGCTACATTTACGATTTATGGCATACAGCTAAGGATCCTGTTTTGCCCTAATACTGCAGATGCTCTAAATCGAGCATAATTTAAATTTAACATAATTTATATCAAATTCCTAATTAAGGTGCACTTCGTCTTTGAAAATTCCCCAATAAAACTTAATGAAATGAAATGAAACTTACCAAAAGTAAAAGTCGAATTCAGCAAGAGCAAATCTCACGTCTTAATTAATCTGCAGGCTTTCCAAGACTTGCCCAAGTAGCACTGCCAGCTCTGTGAAAACCAGATGCGCTCATTGATCAGGTGCGAATGCAGCTCCCCCAGGGCGGGCACTACATGGAACTGCTGCCCGTTTCTGCTGCAGCGATGCGTGAGCACATTGGTGACGACCCACTGTCAGGAAAGACTTAACGATTACCAGAGGCGAAGGGAAATGGGTTGAGATTCTCGATACTTACGGCTACATTGTGTTGGGTCTGCAATCTCCTCATGCTTTCATGAAGTTCCAGGAGCAGCTCAAAGCGCTGTGCGCCATCTTCAAGCATGCGCAGTGAAAATGCCAGAGAGTCGATCACGATCAACTTGATCTGCAAGGAATAAACAAGAAACTATGGCTGACTGCTTCGAATTTACAGAAGACGGAAATATTTACATCTGGATGATCTTGCAGATGTCGGTAGCACATCAAGACACTGGACATTAGCTGAGCCGCGCTGTGACACCCCACATAATGAACCCTTCTAAGCATTCTGGAAGCCTTAAAGTCGGGTGCTATGTCGTTATACCGTTTCTCCAGTTCCTTAGCTAAACCTATAGGTAAACACTGAAATATGGCAGAGAACTAAGTTTTCCTAGGGCAAAACTCACCCAACAATCGCTCTGGATGAAAGTCCTGTCGGGTGTCTATGAATAAGGCGCTGCCTTCCAATCCGCCCACACTTTTGGGTATTTGCACATTTAAGCAAAGTTGTAAGCTGTTTGTAAGGGCACTATTTAATCAGTAAATCACTAATAAAGAATTGAATTCATACCATAGTTGAGTCTTTCCACTGCCCGAGTTTCCTATTAGCTCGGTTATTTGTCCCAAGCTGATTCCACCTCCAAAGTGCGTGTCCAGGCCTTTGTGACCCGTCAGTATTTTGTTAGTCGGACTTTGAGAAGTATTCCAGCAAGAATTATTAAATAAATTGCTGGTTTTTAAGACCGATTGACTTGCCATAACTTTAGTTAAGAAAAAGGCGCGAAAATAAAAACAAAAAACATATGTTTAGAGTGACCAACTGGGTTGGTTTATACCCAGAGACGGCTATCAAAGTTCTCAACCTTCTCTGTTATGGAGGTCTTTGGTATAGTTTTGGTATTTTCTTTAAAGTCTGGGACTACCAAACCGATAACTTTTTTATCGATAGGCCCATTGGTATTTTGACAGCATCTGAATAATCAGCTGGTTTTGTTTACAATCTTGCATTTTTATTTGTTTTCGTGAGTCTTCATTGGAATTTAATCACCCAAAATGGTAGATTTCAAGCACGTCTACCGCCAGTACGAGCTGATAACATGCATAAACATGCTGGAGCCCTGGGAGCGAAAACTGATTAGTGAGTACTTGCACCCAAAATCTAATGAAACAGCAATATTAGATTGTCTACTTTCCCTAGATGGATTCTTCTTGATAATGATGGCCTTGGTTATATTCTCCAGTTTTATGTATCTGCCGAGCTATCTGGAGACCCTGGCGCACTTTGTGACGCCGCCCCAGTGGCACAGCTCCTCGGAGAATGTGGTCTATGTGGCACAGAAGATGGCCCGAAGCTGAGCTTTCTGATACATACATACGTACACTCGCAAGGAAGGAATGACAACTATGATTTAAAGTTAGCAATACTATTATGTGATTTATTTCGACTGGTCCAAGATCTGTAAATATTTAACTGTGCCAACAACGAATCGCTTGACCCAATTCCCAATGGTTTTTCTGTAACGGATGCACAGGACGATGGCCTCCACGATACGCAGGGCGGATGTGTTGAAAAACAGACCCACTAGGCCGCCAAGCGAAACTGGAATGAAAGAGGTTAGTCTGTCTAATAGGTTCTTAAAGATTTTGTGGCTAACTTAAAAAATCAAGGATGGTTTTGGTCACCCTGCGAACATAGCGCTGTGTGGGCAACTCCACCAGAGCCACACGGATCTTAGAGACATCGTCGGTGGCCTCGTCATCTCTGTGTGAAACAGTATTGTTAAAGGAGGACAATTTGTATGGAAGTAACTTACTCATCCGGAGAGTTGTAGATAATGTTGTACTCGGGCTCCTCGCAGGAGCTCATGCACTCACAGGACTTTCGCTCCGTCATAATCTTGTCCCTTATGCGCGTGAGACAGATGAGGCCGCGGTAATCGCAGGCCGGCAGGGAATTCTGGCCTGGCACCGCCATAAAATGGCTGGTGCAATTGCAGTTGGCCAGCTGCAGCAAGACGGTGCACTCCACCACGCAACCAGAGTAGCTGTAGAACTCGTAAATGCCCTGACGCTCCGCTAAATGCTCGTGGCCGTACCGGCAGCGTCGCTGCTCCATGCTCAGGTCCTGAACGCTCTCGTCGTTGTGCACCTCAATCACGTTCAGAATCAGCTCCTTGTAGTGTCCCAGCAGCACTGTCTCCCGGATCATGCCCTCGGACAGCTGGTAGGGCACATCGATGGGTGCATGGACATACAGCTGAATGTCGGCGGCAGCATGGAAATTTAGGTGTCCGGGTCCCGTCTCCCGGTTGTTGGTGAACTGCACCTGGGCCACCTTGCGCGCCTGGTGCGAATTGAAGGAGTAGCACAACCCATACTCCGTGGGCACCGGCAGGAACTCGTCGCAGCAGTCGAACAGCTCATTCAGGTAGGTGCAGTTCACCAGCAGCTGATGGCACTTGGTGCGAAACTGTCGGACAAGAGGAATCAATTGTGTATTCCCAGGAGAAGTGCAGTCCACTTACCACCTCCACAAGGATGGTAAAGTTTGCTGGACATCGAAGCCGGGCGCAATCCTCGCAGCTGCTGCAGACGCCGCGGTAGAAGACAATTTCTGAAATGAAGTCATCAATGTGGATATCATGCTCCACGCCAAAATGTGAGTCACTCAGGTCCCAAATCCTCTCGGCATTGTATATCTCGCAAACGGTAATGGCCGGAAAGGTAGAGTTCCAGTTCAAGCTAATCAATAAACCCGGGTAAGTAATTTTCAAAGCTCTTGGCTTGTTTGCGTAACTCACTAAATGGTGTCCAGATTGAAGGAGACCGACGAGGACACATAGCTGTGCAGCAGGGACATGGAGACACTGCCGAAGAAAGGCAGCGAATGGTAAAAGGTCACCAAATACAGAATGCTGAATACAAGTAGAGATTCGTACATATACATACATAAGGTTCGTAATATTAAATTGGGAATCAAAAGTTAGAAGATATAGGAAACTTGGAAAAATATTAATAAATAGAATTAATAGACTGACCCCTTTAAAACCAAACCCTGGATGCGGTTAAAGTTCATTGTGAACCATCCAGTGGATAAATTCTAACTACTCGTTCAAGTTCAGCTGAGGTATATTTTACCTGGTATCCATTCTTGCCACAACAAAGGCTTCCTCCGATAGCCATCTTAGCCATTGTTCTGCGCTTACGGCCTACATTAGGTAAATTACCAAACTTTTATGGGCCTCGGATACCCTTTGAAACAGACGCGCCTGGCGATTATTAATTGTTATATAAACTATAGTCATTCTAAGCACATAAATAATATGCAGACATTTCAAGTTCGTAGGTCAGTACAGTTATACAAAGGAAAAACAATGATCTGGGAATACCCCGAATCGCAATAAAAAAATTTCGCAAGGAAATTAAATTTATCTCTCTGATAAATCTGGTTCTGGTTTTATGTACATACATATAATCTGAACAATAAATACAGCTACTAACCGCAAAGTATGGCATGCCAATGGCATTACTTTTGCAACTAATGAGTCAGAGCTATAGAATATACATATATAATACCCATCTATATCATCAGCTAATAACAATATGGAAAAGAGGTTCGACAGAGAAATCATGATTCCGAGTACCTAATTTCTTCCACCAGAGAGATGGGGGTTCGTATATTTCAGCACGTGCTTGGATGACTCACTTGAGACTAACTAAATTTCAGACTTAATCCATTGATTTATGACGTGATCGTAAGGAACTGTCATTGATTAAGGTAGTGGTTTCTAGCAAAAAAAAAGGGTTCCCCAGGTTGCTTTGAAATCCCCAGGTTCTTTTCCTATGAGTCAGTATATTTTACGCTTTCATATTTAAACTAGAACTGGTAGAAGTAGTTCAAATAAGAGCTTAATGACTAAGATTTGTTCATATACAAATTGATATTAAATTTAACAAGAATGAAACATATATATATTCTTCACTGTGCTGCAAACTTCTGACTAAAATTGAAATAATGTTTATAAGAGAACTCTGATTTTCAGAAATCCTCCCCACCACACCAAATACCAAACTTCACGTCTTTTAATGCTGCTTACATCTCATATATTAAAATAATTTATAAAACCACTAGGAGTAACTATGGCAAGGGTTCTTAGGAGTACGGACATAAATAGGGTTACGTTTAGGGGGTAATCTGGACCGATGGACTGCCGACTACTGCAGGACCTGAGTGATCCAGGGCAACATGTCGATGACGCTGGCGAAAACTCCCGGCTGATGGTTGTTCCGACCGCACCACTGTCCACCGAAGGAGACCACGCCGTACTGGACGTAGCGGATGGTTCTCTTGAAGTGGTGCTTGAAGAACAGCGGGCTGCCGGAGTCGCCCGGACAGGTATGCTGGAGATCTTCGCCGGTGGCGCAAATGTGGTTGTCGTTCACCTCGCCCTTGTTGTAATACTGGCGACACGTGTCCAGGCTCTGGCGCGTCACGATGGCCTTCTGGAGCGTGTTGGAGACCTCCTGCTTGTCCGTCTTTCCCCAGCCGGCGATGAAGAAATCTTGGTTGAAGGTCAGCTCTTGCGAGCGCTGATCAATGGGGAGGCACACGGGTTGGATGTGGCTCTTGGGCCTGACCTGCTCCTTCAGCCGGACAACTGCCAAGTCATAGTTAATCTGGCCATGCACATAGTTAGGATGAACGTGAACCCGGTCCACCTCGTATTCCTCATAGGGTGGCTGACAGATCCTCTTGAAGCCGCCCAGAATAGTGCAGTCCTCTTCCTTGCTCAAGTCATGTTCGCCCAGGCGTACAGCAATTCTACAAAGAATACCCAATTATGTTAGTTAGCACTCAGATAGTCAGGAAACATGTTTAAATACTAACACGTCCGGTTGCTGGATGATGCAGTGGGCGGCGGTCAAGACATGCCGATCGCTGATCAGGCTGCCGCCGCAGAAGAAGGGACGTTGGGAGTCGCTCCTGTACTTGAGCAGTGCCATCCAGGGGAACTCGCCCAGTCTGGCCTGAATGCCTCCGCTGACCTTCGGGTTGCCCTTGTTGCCACAGTTCGTAAAGGAGTTCAGGTACTGGAGACCCTGCCTGCTGTAGCTATTGATGTCACCGTTGGTCGCCCGCACCACCTTCGTCTGTGTCGTCTGAGTGTTGCTGGCCTGAGGAGTCGCTTCGTTGCGGCAACAAATATGAACTTCCTGAAGAAATAATGAGAAAATTTCCTCAAAACGAAGCTCAGACGGGACATGTACGAATCTACTTACATTCGTATTCCCATCGCACCTCATCTGCCGCAGTTGGTTGCCAATCTGTCGTGGGATATTACGTCCATAGACCTCGATGAGCTTCTGAATGAAGGCGCACTCACTGGGCGGGACGCACTGACCCGCTCCACCCACGGTAGTGAAACAGCTCTCTGTAATCAAGTTTTTCATAAAGCTACCACTTCCTGCACCTAATCACTGTATCAACTTACGACTGAGAACCGCCTCCAACATGACGAAGCTTAGGATCGCCGTAAACAACAGAGCAGATCGAGAACCCATCCTGTCAGATCTGTGTTTTATGCTCTTCCTGTTGTTGTCTCAAGTCACCGATTGCCGATGCTGTGCTAGTGTTGCTAGTGTTGCTAGTGGGGGTCACGTTTCCGATCCCAGATTTCAAAATTCAACGCGCGCGCTCAACCGTGCTCTCAACGTCTCAACTTGGAATGAACCGCAGGTTGTCGTGTGCCGGGCTTTTGTAGCTCGGATTCGCGTGCTCTCGGGGGAATCGCTAATGCAAACCTCATTAATGACCCATCGACGAGCGTAATCCCAGATCGAGCAACAGGTTTTAGCAAGACGACTCGTGCTCGGGTCTCAGACTCGGAGATATAGTGTTAGATATTCGGTATTATCTATCATATATCTGTTTACTTGCTAGAGAGGCAAAGTAACAATTATTTAATTTAATTTCAACCAAAGGTATTGATTGAAATTTTAATCACCATAAGTCTAAATTAATTCCAGAAGAAAAAACTTCGAGCTGATAAGAAGTATTGAGATTTTTGATTGTTGAAATCTATTTTTGAGTAATCAAAAGAGCTCAAAAAACATGTTGTTATTCTTTAATATATTCATTAATCAGGGCACGTGCTCATATAATCATAATGGATTCAAATCTTCTGTGCATAAATCTGATAAATCTATTACCAGACCACTCTCTCTGATTGAACAACTTATCCAGAGAAATCAATAACTCTCTCAATTTCACATCAAATAACTTATAAAATTATAGTACAATTCATAAAAAAAGAGAGCTTATTTAAGATTGAGAAATTTTCCTGTTGAGCTCCCCAAATGTCAGGGGAGTCCCTCCAGTTGCTCTGTGACATTGGGCGTCCTCGTCCTAACTTTCAGCGCCTGATCGAATATGTGGATCCAGTCGAAGAAGAAAACAAAGCAGTTCGATGGAGAACAGATCTGTCCAAGAGGACCTCACGCATCTCCACCTCCATTATGAGGTGGGATCGCAGGACAAGCAGGCTAAGGATTAACCCTTACACTCTCCACAATCTACGTTTCAAGCGACGACCCAACCTCAGGGATATCTTCCGAAGCGAATCATCCGCTAAGAAGCCGAAAAAGCGGAATCAGGAGGACTCAAAGCAACTCCAGACTAAGCCAATTGTGATGATCAAACCCAATTCCAGCAGGACGAGGCCTTCTGGCACCTTCCAGGCTGCTCTGCTGGGCGTGGAACTGAGACGTTTGATGACGCAGTACAGAGTGTCGGTCAGCGATCTTAACGGGAGGCTGCAGTTGCTCAGTTTTGAGCTGGAGGAAATGGAGCTCCAGTGAAAGGAGCTTTGATGTCATAACCCAAGACTCGGACAAAATATTCTTGAAAAATAATATGTGCACTTTAGTTTCTATAAAAGTTAGTTTTTAATTTGCACCTGGGAAAAGTCAAGGCCCACCCCCAGATAAACGGTCTTGGATCTGGGAGCGTGGGAAAAGCGATTAAATTCCAGGAAACCCCCAGAGCAAATGGATCGTTGTCCGCCCATATATTCTCAACACAAATAATAGTCTCTCTTCCAATCTGGAAACAAGTTTCCCTACCTTTAATTAACTGAGAGTCTCTCCCGTTCTACTCGCCAAAGTAGTAATGCCTCACCCGGGGACTGGCACGCGTCCCCCAAGCAGGTGTGGGTCGAAAACTCATTAGAATCGGTACTTTTTCTCGCAATTAATTCGTTGTATTAATTCCAACATCTCAAGTTTCCCATTCCCCCGTGGTAGACAGCAGCGACGGCTACCTGAGCGCCAGATCGAAACCCGTTCTTTTGGATATGTGTAACATGGAATTTCCAGTGACAGAAATTCCCAGCATCATCGTTGGGGCTGGGTCTCAAAATGTGCGATGCGTGCGAACAAAAAACCCCCCGAAATTTGCGTTTATTTTTTTGTGAAGTATATAAAGGCAGTCACGCCCTGTAGGATAGGTCGCGGAATCACTTTATGAAGTTGGTCTTGTGGTTAATAATCATAAAGAATACTCCACTGGCTAAACTTATCGCTATGCGGTAAAAATTTAATTGTAGACAGCTATTTCTCAATTGTTCTCTTCTATCACATTGCGCAATAATTCTGATAGGTAATAAAATTCAAAATTAACTGCTAGGCAAAAGCCATTGAATAATAATTGTATACAAGTGTACTATGTTTTCTTATGATTCATTTCAAAGGAAACGTCAGTGCAATTCAGTATTGACGACGATTTACTAAATTAATTAAAGACTGTATGAACCAAAACTTAATATTTTATAGCATAATAAAAGATATATGTACATATGTATATGTATAACTGCATTTGTGGATCATAATTAGTAATAGATCATAAATAGTAAGGTAAAGTAACAAGAATTTTTGACCTAGGGATGCCACACAAAATGTTTTAGGTTTCAATCTTGTGAATAAATGTCACGCTATAAGAAAATCATTTCTTTTTAAAAGTAATATTTTTGTCTAGATTTTCTCCTCTAAATATTATTCTTCAAAGAAATTAATACCAAATGGTTCCTATTTGTTTAATTACCCATCTAGTTATTTTTTAACGCATTAATTCCCAATAAAAGCCGCAAATAAGTTAACACATATGCATATCATATATTTTTTTAGGCTTGACTAATCCTAGGTGCGCTTTCTAACAATTATGATGACTCCTGCTCCTCCTCTCAGAGGCCATTACTGGCCATGGTGTCAGTGATCCACTGGACAAACTCCCCCACATTGGTGTACAGGCCCGGCAGACTGATCTGACCGCAGGTGACCACGCCCTGGCTAACGATCCCAAACTCCACCATTCGTGGGGCAAACTGCCCCAGGTAGGGGACAGGCGCCTGCAGGGGACCACCGGAGTCGCCTTTGCAGGAATCCTGGAGATCGCCGCCGCCCACACAGAGCTGGGAGAGAGGAACGTTGCGCCGATAGGCCTGGGAGCAGGCAGTTCGTGGCTGCAGCGGCACATTCGCCTGGAGGAGCACATCCGAGGTGGAGCCGTTCTCCGTGGTGCCCCAGCCAGTAACGAAGTATGTATTGATCTCCTCCGCCTTCTGCTTCAGCTCATCGGTGACAGGTAGGCAAATGGGACTGATGTGCTCTAGATAAGAGGTGGTGTCATTAGCTATAGTCAGGGGACTGAATTTCCAATCTCTTACTCTGGAAGGTGACACTCTGATTGAGGCGCAGCAGGGCTATATCGTTCAGATAGTGTCGGGTATCGTACTGCTCATGGATCAAATGCTTCTCAATGCCCACATCCACCACCGGTGGAGCACACTTGGGCTTGCGTCCTTGATTCCGGCAGTCCTTTTCCGTGGAGATCCGGTGTTCACCCAGGCGGATTTCGTAGCTGAAAGTAATTAGGAAGTGAACCTTTATGTTTATATTATTAATTGATTTCTTTCACTTACAGTTCATCCTCGAGTCCAGACACGCAGTGGGCAGCAGTTAAATATATCCTTTAACATTTCACAATAATTATATATCACAATAATACTTAAAAATCGGAAATTAAAACCCAAGAAAGGGACACTTACTCTCCGAGATTAGGGCTCCGCCGCAAAGAAACTGCGACTCTCCAAAACGATTGTAGCGGAGCAGGGCCATCCAAGGTCTGGAGGAGAGCTTCACCTCGTATCCATTGGACACCCGGTGGCTGACAAAGTTTCCGCAGTCAAAGTTCTCGGACTTGAACAGGCTCATCACCTTGGAATTGTGCTGGATCTGGGACGAGGCGCAGCAAAAGTGACGCTAAAAGGAAGCAGGGAGAAAGTGTAATAAACAAGCTTTGAATAATTAGAATACATCTTATCTGTAATTTCTATATGCTGCAGTAACAAATATATATGTTAATTTAAAAATAACTCATTGTCGACATTCGCTATTAAGTCAATAATCATTGAACTGCAATTGCTTTCTATATTTTTTTTTTATTTCATATTTAAATTAATTTGTAAACATATCACTCACCACCCCATTGAACTCCCCGCATGTTGCCTTCTGCAAATAGCTGGCATACTCGGGCGGCACCTTCTGCCCGGCCTTCTGGCTCTCCATGAGCCGCTCCTCGATGTTCCGGCAGGAGGAGAAGGGCATGCAGCGGCCCTGGTCGCCATCGGGGGTGCTGCACTCATCGGCGTAGGCTGACCCATGTAATTGGATACCAATATTAGCATTGCATAGACGCGCGGATCCGCGTTCTGAGAACTCCTCTAACCTGCTCGAGCAGCTCCCAGCGAGACGAGGGCGATGGCAATGGTGACGACGAGGCGGCAGCCGCTTATCATAGCGCTGGAGTGCTGATCTGGGACCTGATCCGAGAGACGTTGAAACCTGTACTGATGCGTGTGACGACGCGCGGCGGGATCTTGACAGACAACAGACGCTGACGCTCCAAGCTCGACTGGGAGATCGTGCGACGAGCAATCTGGTTTTAAGTGTATTTCCCCCCCGGAACTCGGATTGTGAGAGCGAAAGCGAGATTAATCAAAGCTTAGCCGGCCCAGGCCTTTTAATTTGTATAGAGAACCATATTCCAAAACAGTTTATGGGAAAATCCGAAAATAGTGCAGTATTTGCCTGCACTTTTACGTCACGTGGTGATCTGACAGAGCTAGTCCTTCACCTCTGGAAGAATCTCTCTGGAACAGGGGTGCCCAAAAGCTGCTAACCTCTGCTCTAGAAACAACTTCTCTCTGAAAAGCTAGTTGCCAGAGCAAAACAAAGGAGAGCGGCGTCTGTAAACAAATACTTGTTTAAAGGATTCCAGTGAGCATTATTTTTGTTTCAACATTTGCGTATTTTTTATTTTATTGTTTATCGCACATCATCATCATCTAGTCAGTGGTACAATGGCTGAATCGGTCCGATCGATCAGGGGACAAAGGGGTTTATAAAGTTATAGATACATTTAGAGCTTGACCTTGGTAACAATAAATTATAACAAAGCTGCTGCTGATGCTTAATTGCGTTAATAAATATCAGACATGGCTCAACAACAAACATAATATAGTCACTCGAATATATCTCTGGGGATATAAGGAGTCTTAAAAAGATACAGAAATCATAATCGTAACAGATAGTTGGATGTTAACGGCAGCGAATTAAGTTGTTTTAGATGTGGAACAATTGGTTGCTTGGTTGGTTGGTTGGTTGGTTGTATTGCTCTCACCAGTTCTCGGTAGCAGTTAATAGCTTCTGTGGTCGGGGGGTTGGCTAATTTACATAATTTCTTCTTTTTTCTCTGTATGGCAACGAAAGAGGGAAACATGGCATAGATAAATCAATCAATTGTCGAATTTTCTTTGGGGGTGAGGAGTGAGTTTAAGCAGTGATTTTTTTTATATAGCTCGCTTATGCCGCCGCCAGAGTTAGTAGTTAAGGGCGTAGGAGCAGAATCATATCGAAAGCCGGGATGCAGGAGATTATGTCATGTTGTAAGGTAAGCGGCGAGGTAAAGCCAATAGAATGGTTAAGAAAACAGCAAACCAAAAACATAGCACAGAGTTAATACAGATACAGGATAGAATACTGCGTAATTGCTTTTTCAGAGGCTTAGTAGTAGTCAGCGTCATTGTCACAGTCGTCATTATATCGATTGGTATCACAAATAATTAATAAACATGGTAATTTTATACAAATATCAAAACACACTTCATAAATACATAAACTATAAACAATTTGAGAATACACTTAGGAGCTAATCCCTTGGCTCCCACAGCCGGCCGTCCGCAGCTCCCTGCCCCTCCACACAATCCAGTATGGGGTATTAACAATTTAACAGGTCGTAGGGAGTAGCCGGTAACTGGGACCACCAGCCAGGGGAGCCAATGAATCTCGCAAAAACATTTATAGAACAGAGTGAGCACTTGAAATTTCTTTCTAGTCTAAAGTAGGCTGGGTTAGTAGTCGGTTGTTGCTTGGTGGCTTGGTGCTGATGGTGTACGCTTTGGAAGTAGTAGAGTGGGTTATAGGATGCAAAACAGAGTGGTTCGTGGCGTGCCATCATTCTTGAATGCTTTTATTTGATGGCGGCAATGAGCGGGCTTTCTTCGCCTAGAATTAGAAATAAAGAAAAAGAATTATATATCACTTTGTTTTCCATAGAGATCCGTGGGCACTAATTCACGAGTCTTAATGTAGGGCATCCGCGGCCAGACCCAGGTCGCCGGCATCGAGGTCTCGTAGTTGAAGTTGTACAGCTGCATTTCCAGCCACTTGCGCTTGTCCTGCGGTTCCGGGTAGGTAGATGCCAGACCTAATTTAAAATAAAACCGGTATTGTCACATTTGTAAATAAAATTAAAAGGGGGACCCCCATGTGAACTGCACTGCACTTTACCTCTATCGTAGGCGCACTTGGTCACGCCAATGGCAATGTTCATGGACACATCTCGGATGCTGGAGAGGGGCGGGTACAGCGAGCCGCGCTCAATATCGCTGGGCTCAACAAAGTTGGCCAGCTCCTGAGCGGCAATGAGGAACATTTCGTCGGGTATGTGATGCGTGCCCGTGCAGATAACGCCCAAGCCGACGCCCGGAAAGATGTAGGCATTGTTGCCTTGGCCGGGATAATAGGTCTTGTCGCCCATTGTGACCGGTGGGAAAGGAGAGCCCGACGAGAAGATAACGCGAGCCTAGAAGGGAGAGTTGAGTGGGTTAAAAGAGATTTTGATAGTCATCTTTTTTTTTACATCCGTGTGCTTGTAGGCATCCTCGGCGGTGCATTCTGCTTTGCTGGTGGGATTGGACAGCGCAAAGACCACGGGCCTCTCGTTGTTATCACCCATGGTTCTTAGGATCTCTGGCGTAAAGATGCCGGCAGCGGCCGAAGCACCAATGAGAACCTGTAAGTAGGTTTTGGTTATTAGTTAAGTAATTAATAATTTAAATACAACTTATTTGAAAGTCTGCAATACTTACACTTGGCTTAATGGTGGACACAATCTCGGCGAGATCCGTCATGGGCGCAATATCCTTGGCGTAGTTGACCTTGTGGCCCTCCAGGTTGCCGACCTTGCGGGACTTGGTCAGCAGACCGTCAATGTCCACCATGTAGATGCGGTTGTAGGCCTCCTCGATGGGCACACCCTCTTGGACCATGGCCTTGACCGTGAGATCGGCAATGCCGATGGCTGCCTCACCCGCTCCGGCGAACAGGAAGGTATAATCCTTGAAGGACTTGCCCGTAATCCGCTTGGAGGCATACAGTCCAGCCACGGCAACGGCGGCGGTGCCCTGAATATCATCGTTGAAGGTGCAGTACGTGTTGCGGTACTTGTCCAGGAACCTAAATGCATTGTGGTTGCCAAAGTCCTCGAACTGGATGAGCGTGTTCTGGCCATATCGCCGCACCACCGCCTCCATGAACTCATCAATGAAGTCGTCGTACTCCCGGCCAACCACTCGCTTCTGGCGAAGGCCCACGTACAAAGGATCCTCCAGCAGATCGATGTTGTTGGTGCCTACATCCACCACAATGGGCAGGCACTGGTGGGGCTTGATACCAGCCAGAGCCGTGTACAAGGCCAGCTTGCCAACGGGAATGCCCATGCCACAGGCACCCAGATCACCCAGTCCCAGGATACGCTCGCCATCCGTCACGCAGATGGCACGGACATTCGGCTCCGGCCAGTTCTTCATCACATCGAAGATGTGGCCCCGATCGTTGTACGTCACGAAGAGACCGTGCGGACGCCTGTAGATAAGGCCAAAGCGCTGGCAGGCCAGGCCCACCGTGGGAGTGTACACAATGGGCATTAAGTCCTCAATGTTCTCGGAGAGGAAACGAAAGAACAGTCGTTCGTTACGATCGTACAGATCGCTCAGGTACAGGTACTTGTTCAGCGGCTCTGTGTAGCGATTCACGGCGATCTTGCACAGCTGCAGCTGCTCCTCCTGCGTCTTAAAGCGGGCGGGCTGCAGGCCATGAATGCCCAGCGTCTGTCGCTCCTCGAGGGTGAAAGCCAGACCCTAGAAAGGAGAAATAACGAGATAAATTAAGTTGTTTCAAGAGAACCTATTTTAAATTTTAATTTGTATATTGAAAGAAATGATAAAACAAAAGCCCAAAAAGGCGGGAAATTAAGCTTATTTAGGGAGTTTCCTTATAAAAGATAACATTGATAAGCAAATAATATTAAAATTCACTTATATTAGTCATTTTCCATGACTTTTTAGCTTATCAGGTAATTAGTTTTAGTAGCAACAGTTACGTTTGTCAGTTACTTGTACCAACAAATTCCATCATATTTAAGATCTAAGCAATATACACATCTCCTTACCTTATTCAAACGAGGGTCGCGAATGTGATCGATGCCGCGCACCTGCGAAGGTGTAATAATGTCACCCACCACCTCATGGTATCGCCGTGTGGCCGGCACTGTAGCTGATGTGGCGCCCGCTGCTGTTGCTGTGGCTGAAGCGCTGCAGCGGCACAGTTTGCCCACAGTTCCGCACAAACTGCAAACAAAAAATAGATAATATAAATAATAATGGCCAAAGTGCATTACGTGTGTGTGTCATTTATCAGCGGAGACCAATTGGAGCAACCCCCTCTGGGCGCTCTTGACATTACATGTCCCCATCACTCGCACTTCTATGGAACGAAAAGCCATGTCCAAGGTCGCCGTCAGCTGCTTTTTGTTTATCACCGCGTGGGGCACGCCAGAATGAAATACGAAAATACGAAAATACGGAAAATGAGGAAGAAACTAAGCCGCATTGTTTACAGCTGTCCCCAGTGGATCCCACCCGCCAGAGATAAGGCGGGGGATGGATGGATGGGTTGGCCCCTGGCGACAAAATCATGATAAAAATCTACACACAGCTATGATCTTAATATTAGCAATAAATAATTTATATTCCTTGGATTATTTTTCAAACATTTATAATAAATATAATCCTATATTAGCTATATTAAATCATCGATTGGGTTTTTCACCTGTCTTCTACTTTTAAATAATTATATGAACTTAGAATTTAAAGGGTTTTGTTTGGTTCTATTATAGCACAAAACTTCCTTGTTACATGATTCTTTTTGAAGTGTTAATTTTATTGAATTAAAAAATATAAAAAACACAATAAATACTTAGGTTTGATTATTGAACTTGAGGTTGTTATTGTATTCTTGTAAGTGATCTTGAAAGATTAGATTGAACACTTATAAATCATATCAAATCAAGAGTTTATTAAAAGCAAGTGTTTCTATTCGTAAGATAAAGAAAAAACTTTATTATATCAAGTAATTATTATGTAAAAGGTACATTTTTTAAGAACACGTACAAGAGTGAAAAGTCATAAAGAACAATTTTGAAAAACATATGCTTTGTGTCTGTGCGTGTTGGTGTTGATTTGGTACCCTATGTGAGCTGAAGGAAACTTTCCGCGCCCATCTATAATATAAAGAGATAATATCCTATTTTCCTGACCGCCACTGTCACACGACGAGTGTGTATTTTTTCGCTAGCTTTCAATTCCATCAGATGTAGATGGTGCTAATTACGATGGAGGCATATAGCAGAAACGGAGGCGTGTGACTAATTTTGTTTGCGGTTCATTGATGGAATCATGCTCGGCGAGGGGTTCGGCATGCCATGGTAATATGGTATCGGATCTGTGGCGATTCTGGTCGGGTTGAAACCGGTTAATGACGTGGAGAACCGCATGACGACACCCTTTCCGGGCGCCCCTGTAAGCTCTATAGGTTGATAATTATCGTTTAGGTAACACCACACGGACTTTCATTCGTCAATTTTTTTGCTCAACTATTTGAATGCCACTCACATGAGCTGCGCTGCGTCAAAGTGCTAAACAATTTCAATTTCGCATATCTCTGGCTAAAAACTACACGGAATAAGTGCGTGTCGTAAATGCTTTCGAGTGATATTTATATGTAAGATAATGTGCGGGGCAACCATTAATTATTTTAGGGCCCCGCCAAAGCCCTCACAACATTTCCACCAACTGAAGTCCAAGCAAAAGCTAAGCAAAGTTCAACAAACTCTTATTTTTCTTGCTAAACGAATTTTGTATTTGCTTTTTTGGCGTATTCCCTGGCTAACGGTTTGCGTGGGAAAGAGAGGGGAGAAGAACAGCACTTTCTGATGAACTTGGCAACGAAAAAATGCTTACAAAGCGAAGCAAAACATACATTTTTTCGGTATACACACTAAAATTAGAATTTTGCGAGACCATTTTTCGAATATACTATGTTTATATGTCCATGGATGTGAAGGTGTTGTGTTTTTGGCCAGCGGCAAGGAAAATGATACTTAATTATAAATATTTCTTTGGCGATTGCATTTAAAATAATGTATTTTAAATGAATTTTAAATCTTGAGATAAATGGAAATATTTGACAACTTAAAAGTTGTTAATTGATAGTTCTCGTTTAGTTTATTTATATTTATATTTATATTTTTAATGTCTTCTTATTTGAGCTTCACAGATTTAAGAAGGACCTTAGAGCTTTTTATAGGGTATTTTTCCGCCCTAACAGCAAACAACTTCCTTCAAAAACTAAACATCTGTTTTCTACCTCTGTACTCTATTGATTTTTTCAGCTGTCTAATGTTTTGGCAGCCCTAAAATAAAATAAGGTGAAACCTAATTAAGAAACTCTTATGCAACTCGCGACAAAAGTAAGCGTTTTTTTTTTTGGAACAGCTGTTAGGTGGAAGAAAAGAAAGGGTCAATGCCAAAACATGTGCGAATCCCGTTCCCCACGTCTCACTCGCACACCGAGGGAATCCCGTGCGTGGTTTTGTTTGTATTTTGCGTGACAGTGAAAACGAAAGCTGCGCAAAAAGAAAAACGAAAGGGAAGGAAAAGAAAAGGAGGGTGACTACAAATATATACACAACGCCTTGGCGGCGATTCTTCTGATCCGAGTGACTAGGTCACTGGGCTACCAGCTGGGGCAGCTCCTCCTCCGAAATATTGCATAACCACCGCAAACACACACACGCGCACTCACACATCCTGTGCCATGGCAGAGGACACCTTTACAAGGAAAAGCTTACCTCGGTCGTGACAACATTTTGAGGTTGCTTTGCTTTGCGTTTATGTTCTACTCTCGCCCAGTGTCAAGGGTTAATACTTCTTATTGTAATTGTTTAACTTCGTGTGTACCGCGACGCGACGTTCTACCAGGAATTAACTTATTTAGGACCCGAACCGCTTCGACGTTTTAAAATTATTAAACTAGAGGTGGAGTAGAATCGATGGCTGACCGCTATAGAGCCACAATCGATAGCAGCAGCCACATTCGATAGTTATTCAATCATCGAAAGTGGTGCCATGATGGCGGCATCGATATATCGTCGTGAGTGCTTTAACTAGGGCTGTAAAAAATATATTAAAATATCAATATATAGATAGTTTTTATCAAAATAATATATTAAATTTTGATATTTTGTGGGGAATTGAAAAATATATATTAAACTTTGGTTACGTTCAGCAGCACAACATGATCACCGATCAGTAATAAATTACGATATTTTTGCTTAGCACACATGATAACTTATAACGATGCAAGAGATATATGTAGATGATATATAAGTTATTGATCATGAAAGCAGTGGCATCATTAGTTATTCTCTAATGATTATTTATTATATATTATAATTAATTATTTCTTAATTTCTTATTTATTTTATTTATTTCTTAATTAATGTAATACATTCTTATATTAAGAAAATGAGGCGCCACATTAACTACAAACTTATTTTAAAAGTTGTCTGATTAAAAAATATTGCTTGGAAAATTAAAGGAATATTTTATTCGTGCAGTTGTCCATTACTTTACTTTTTACTTTTAGGTAAAACCCTATAGCAATCATAATAGCATTCCTTTATCCACCATTTCGTTGAATTTGTTCAATTAAAAAATTAAAAGGTAAAATTTTCAGCGTATGCAAAGCTGTGCTTAAGTTGTTAATTTTTTAGGAAACATAAATGATGTAGCTTATTGATCACATAGTAAAAATATCGTAGGGGCTGTTAAAGAGTTACTTTTAACTATTGTAAAGATCGATAGTATCGCTTCCTATGATTTCGTTCACACTTACTTCAAGTCACCCGTAAATTCTATTAACTCTAGCAGGAAATGTAATGTAAAATGTAATATTGAAACTAAAGTAAAATATTTTGTACATTGTAAAATCGGATTATTGCCTTGTTATTATTATTATTAATACAAAATAAATTACTATAACCTTTCAAAATTTTATACAATATACAATTATTATGTTAAGAACAACGAACTAATTACATTCCTATAATCCTATATAATATTACAAAATTCTGTTAAATTCTTACATTTCATCCGCAAAATTCTGTTAACTTATGTATGTTGTGTAACCAGTGTGGCCAGCCAACGGCTACTGCCCCACTGATATACTCATCGGTGATATAGACAATCGATGTTTCCATCGGTGTTTGCGCACCTCTATTGGCCTCACCATTACAAAAAATAAAATTTCGAGACGAAAGCACGGAAGCTCCGCTGTCGACGGAATCGCGAAGGGCGGATGAGTGCTGCGCGAGTTTAATGTTTTTATTCGCCCAAGTTGTGGAGCTAGCTTCCGCTTTCGACCAAAACGCACTCCGACGCAGGCTTTTACCAAAATATCGACGCAGTTTCCTAGGGAAATGCAGGTCCAGTGATGAGGCCCGCTACTAGCTCACGCGTGTGAGATGGTGCACGACAAGCAGTGTGAAAAGTAAAGTAAAGGCAAAAAGGAAAAAACGAAAAAGCGGAGACCCACAGAGAATTCACAAAAAGTGTTAAGTTCGTAATGTGCATTTAGCAGTCGCGTCGCAGAAAAGCAATCGTCGCCAAACATATTGCTTTGTGTTTCTTTGTTTTGTTTGGCTCGCACGCGCGCTTGTGTGTGTGTTTTGGTGTGCTCGTGTGTGTGTGCGCGCGTGAGAGAGCAAGGACAAGAGGGAGAGAGGAGGAGTCTGGAGGAGAGAGAGAGTCAACAACTGTGGAGCTGAAAAACACTCTCCGACGATGGACACGTTTCGCAAATGGCTGAACAAACCCAAGGTACAGTTGTTGTTGTTTTGCACTTAACCGTTGATAACCCAAACTGTAGTTGTTCTTATCACCCAACAACAACAAGAAAAAAACAAGAACTACAATAGGCACATGAAAGAGAGCTGCAATTAATTAAGAGCAACAGTGCGAATGGTGTCAAAGCAACTCTGCGCTGGTATTGGTGTTGCTGCTGCCTGTGTGTTAACTGTGCCGTTCGTTCGTTCGATGTGACGTCAGCGTTTGCTTTGGCCCTGGCTCATTATAGAGCCCCTGCCCGCGCCCCCTCTCCTTTGCACCCACTGGCACTGCCTATCGCCATCTCGCTTGGTTTTAACCGCATTTTATTTCCGATGATTAATTCGCTGACGTTGCAGCAACAACACACAGACACACACACATTCTGCTGGCAGCATGTAAACTGCACTCGCAATTCAAATTGGAAACCCATACAGACACACACGTATGTGTACAGCAGCAGCAACAACAACAAAACAAATATGGCGCCAGTCCGTTCGTGTTGCAAATTACAAGCAGCCAACTTAACTAATTTATGTATCTACGTCTGGTAATTTGGGATCTGTTCTTAAAGGGGGGAAAACCCGTCGCTTTGTCCGTCCGTCAGTGGAAAATCACCCAGGGAACAAAACACTGAGAACAATGTCAGAAAGCTGCAGCGAAATAATAGAGTGCATTCAAAACCAGAACAAGTTCGTCATCTTTCAATACTCGAAATAAGGCTTTTGACTTCACTATTTTTAACAATAAATCAATATCTCTCGGGCAAGGAACTTAAATAATTGCATTTAAACCCATTTTTCACTGTGCACCATTCGCTCGAAATAAATTAAGTGTGTTTTTAGTTTAAATCGCGATTGTAGTGTGTACCCTCAAGTGTAATCAATCTCTTTGCCGATATTTATCGATGATTTATTGCGGATTAATGAATTGGAGGATTTATAGTTATTTTTTTGTTAAGTAATTAGGTCGGAACAGCAATAGGAATATTAATTCAATGCCAGTTTAAGAGAACTATATAACAAATTTTCCCCCAAAGTCCGCCGTAAATAGAATTTCATTGGGGAAGATGATGGTTCGTGATACCGAATTTCGACCGTATCTATATTTAGCGCCCTCTTGTTGCTTTCGGTTGTCTGGAATATACATAATATAAATTTTGTGCATATATATGTATACGTTAGGGTTCGCCTCCAAAAATAAAACGCCGATGGAGCGGCTTTCCGACTTTTTCCCCAACAATTATGCCCGCGCTGCTCCATCCAATTTTCCTCCCGATCGCTAGTCAATCTGTCAATCCGCCTGACATTTTGATGGCCGTCGCCAGATTTCTATGGAGGTGCCCCGTAGGAAAAAAATTGAATTAGAAGCAACTTACACGCAAATCCATTAAATCAAAGGCAAACACTCCACGCGGCTATATGGCTACATAGCTTTATGGCACTACGAAGTGTGTGCTGACTCGACCTCGCTTACCTGACGGAGGTCAGTGTCGAGACTTTGGCTTCTGTGTTCCCCATTCGGAATCGAATCAAATGGCAAACAGATGGTCTAGTCTGAGGGGCTGAAGGGCCGCTCTTGAATGTTTATGCTTTCTATTCGAGTGCCGCCTCGATGGCCGGGAAGAAGACGAAACTGACTTGGACGAGTATCTGTGTATCTGGCAGTTCGATTAGATAAGATTACGCCGAGTGGAGCCAGCGGGGATTTGGATTTGCCGCCGCCAAATCACGTTTGGTGACAGGTGATCGAAGGGACCCAGTTGGCTATTGCTTAATCGTTTATATTGATAGATAATATCACTTGGGATTAAAATATATACTATGTGAGTATGTATCTAGTGGGTTTACTTTAGTTGAAATAAACGGCGTACGTGATTTAAATAATCAATTTCCTCCAATTTCCATCGTCAATAATAATGCAAGATGCATAAAAAAAGCGTAGCTGCTTGATTTATTACGCTCCAAATGCATTCGAAAATGCCAATTGGCATGATCAAAGTAAAATGGTAATACGCTTTTCTTTGGTTCACTTTCCGGATGCCTTGTTAGTTAGCTGCTCTTTTTCTTTAATTTGCTTTGGTTAATTAACACACTTCTCTCCGCATCTGGCGCTCATAAATAACGGCACGAGTAAGTTTTCCTCATTTTCTTGGTGGTGGAAAATGCCCCCCAAACGAAACGGAAAATCCACAAACATGTAGAGTTTCTTTCTTACTCGTCTTTTATATTTTTTGTTTTTTGTGCAACTCTTTCGTATGCTGCTGCCGCTTCTTCTTCAGCTCTTCTTTTTCATTCATTGACTGCACACAACATTGCTTCCTGGTCTCCTCTTTCTTTGCATTTCTTTTCTCGTCTCGTCTCGTGTCGCCTTTGTGATTGTGTCAACTTTCTTTCTCCTGCAAAGTGAGAATCTCGCGTCGAGGTTTCTTTTGTTGCAATGTAAAAATAAAGTCTGTAACAGTCAGGCGATGGCGTTGCCAGATGTCGCAAAGGCATTGCCATATCGAATTGCATCAGATTGTGGTGTGTCAACCCTGGCCCCAGCATTCTATTGCAGCAAATGCTAACAGACACTGTTTGAGTAATAAGAACTTAGTTATAAATCAAAGAAGATTGCTGTAATTTATTTTATAAAAATTAGGCAACGCAAACATTTGTATTTTCAGAGCCCTATGATATCACCTAGCCTGCGAATTTCACAATGCTTGCAAAGCTTGGCAAATCAGTATCGTTTTTAATAACTAGTTACCAAACACAAGTTCTAGAAACTGAAGACTTATTGAAATGATCGTAATTGCTTATTTCCTTTTTGCAAAGTCAAAGCAACCTTAAAAAACTCAATAATAATGCAACTCTTGGGTTCGTAGTTAGGGTGTGCAGTGAGTGCAATTGTTTTTCGCTCGCCTGTGCATATAAATTTTCATAAAAACGAAACCGACACTGACGCGGCGAACGTAAACAAAAAGCGCAGCTAAACCAAGACAATGGAGTCTGGGAAAGAGGCGACTACTGGCGGCTGCCTCGAAACCCAAAAAACGCGATCGGATCCGCAGTCAATGGAACTGTGAATTGGGAACTGGGAACTGGCTGGGGGCGCCGTTCCCCTGCAAAAAGGAAGGCGGCACGCGCCACAGGCGTCTGTAATTGATTATATGATATAGCGGCCACTCGATCTGGGGGCACAAAACCAATAGCGTTACATCACTATCCGCATATTTAATTTTCTTGCATAAATACCGAATAGGTATAGGTATATTCCCATCTAAACTCGTCCACATTCGTATGTATATAGGAAGCATTGTACAGGCGATAAAGCAAACATTATTTTTATATTTATTTATTTTTTTGTTCACTTGCCTCCGAATGCTCGTTTATAAATGTTTGCCGATCAATGACTATATACATACGTAACGATGTACAATAAATAGCAAGAAATAGTGGGTGCGGGCTCTGAATCGTGTCTGTTAGTGCCTGGCTGCTAGTTGGTCAGCATTATTGAGTACATGAATCCGATTCGTATGCGAAACCTCGTTTAAGGGTCTTCCCAGTAGTTAGTCTTAATGCTACGATAATGGATCTTAGGCAGTTCTTAAAGTATGAAACGTACAACCCTGGGGATTTCCCTAACTCACAGTCTATGCATTTTTCCTTCGAGATTTCCTGTTTTCAATCGGATATATATGTATATGCTTCGTGTGCCTTCTATAAACTCATTTGAAGTTGGCATTGAATTGTTTTATGGGCGAAACGCCAACGAAACGTAAAAGTAAACCATAAAAAAGTGAAATCTATGGGCGGCTGGTAAAGTAGTTTTTAGTTTTTTTGTCTTTAACCGTCGATGGTTATTTTTTCTGGGTGCTTTGTTTCGTTTCTACAATTATTTTCGGTTGTTTCTTCTCGGATATTATTCACCTCTCCACCTCCCGAATCCCAAAGTCTCCGTGTTTTTGGAGCATGTTGCAAATGTGTGCAATTAAAGTCGGTTGCGTCGTCGTCAGCACGAAATCGGCCATTAACACAATAAACTCTGACAGCCAGAGTCCGAAAAGACAAAAAATTATATATAGTATTTACCATGAGCTGGCAAAATGGAAATTACAACAATAAGAAACCTTTAACAATTGGGCCCAAGAAAGTCATGACTGGAGAGCAACTTGCTGAATGAACTGAGGGCAGCCAAGGGCCCCTCCAACTCGGCAACTCTCCAGCTGTTTATGAAATTCACTTATTTACGCTTTCTTGGCTTGGCCATAAAAAGAGCTAACAAGAGCCGAAGAGTTAAAACTTTTCTGAAGGAAATAAAGTGTCAGAAAAGCCAGAGCTAAAGATACAAAGTTTCAATGATGCGGATACAGTGTGTTTCGCCATCTTAACCACATTATGAAACGGCCTTACAAGTAAATAATTACGATAAATAGAAAGATAAACACCAAACAGCAAAAAACCTGTTCAGGGAGAGCTATTGTTACCCAAAATGAGGTTGGCTGTAATAACTTCTTTGGGCATTACGTTAAAATTTTGTTATTTTATTCTTATCAGTATAAATGAGGTTTTCACATAATGTTATCTTCTCAATGGAAAAACAATACCCATTCAAGATTTTTCATAACTGGGTTTTTAGGGAATTTTATAGTACATTTATGATATTCTGAGCTTACACAAGTAAAGATTATCTACTGCCTGTGTTACAGTTTCACCTTTTTAATTTTATTTACTGTGTTTACCCTATTTGTTAACACCCAACAAGTGTTTTATGATTCTAAAATCCCACTGCACTATATGTGTTTTACGGCTTCTACAAATAAAGCAACAGCTGCCTTTGAGCTGATTTTCCACACCCGTCGTCGTCGTCGTCAGAGTGCCATGAATGGGCGCAGTGCGTATACGACCCGTTGGACAGGCCCACTGCGATGACGATGGACTTTAATGCAATGCAACAAGGTGGCACTTGCATTCGTATTCCTCCGTGTGAGTGAGTGAATGTCTGCATTG